AATAAATGAATAAATGAATAAATGAATAAATGAATAAATGAATAAATGAATAAATGAATAAATGAATAAATGAATAAATGAATAAATGAATAAATGAATAAATGAATAAATGAATAAATGAATAAATGAATAAATGAATAAATGAATAAATGAATAAATGAATAAATGAATAAATGAATAAATGAATAAATGAATAAATGAATAAATGAATAAATCAATAAATGAATAATGAATGAATAAATTCATGGATTCATTAATTCATAAATGAGTTAATGAGTGAGTGAATGAGTGAGCGAATGAGAGAGCGAATGAGTGACTGAATGAGTGAGCGAATGAGTGAGTGAGTGAATTAGGGAGTGAATGAGTGAGTGAATGAATGAGTGAGTTAATTAATGAGTGAGTGGATGAGTGAATGAATGAATAACTGTTGTTCTCCTTGGTGTATTTTTATAATTTTTCATGTTGGTTTCAGAAATGTTAACTGAAAAACTGTCGAACATCTCAGGATAATGTTATAAACATTTTCCTCCATAGAACTTCGATGGAACACTCATTATATTATTACATGGTTAATGAGGTTATATCGAGAGTAATAGTTATTTATTATACAAGGGAAAAAAGTAGTAGATTTTAGCTCCAGGTTGTGTTGTCTCCCGACGCGTAGCGGAGGGAGACAAAAAACCGTGAGCTAAAATCTAATATTTTTCCCGTGTATAATACACTATTTTTTTCTGTGACAGAAGGAAGGACGAATCAATATTGGGAAGATATTACATTATTTCGAAATCTGAAAATTATCGACGTGAAATTTCAAGTTTTTAACAGTAGGGACACCTGCATTTTATAGACATCTTCATCATTCTTTTGAAGTAATCAAATATCTGATGTCACTTCTGTCAGTTCAATTCTGTGATTTGATTTTGAAAAATTGCGAATTCAGTAGTTGTTTAGTAATATACGAAACCGCGAAGTCGAATGGAAGATAAAAAGACTTGCAGTTCTTTCTCGGAGACGGTATTATTGACTTATTTTTCGGAACTATAGCACAACAAAAGCCATTAACAGAGTATATATATGTGATATATATCCGGGAAAGAAGTACTCACTTTTTTCCCACGGGAAAAAAGTAATTTATGAAAAGTGACATTTTATAACCTGCCAACAGAGATGAAATGCCAAACTTTTTTCCCGTCACAGAAAAATAGTTATTTATTATACAAGGGAAAAAAGTAGTAGATTTTAGCTCCAGGTTGTGTTGTCTCCCGACGCGTAGCGGAGGGAGACAAAAAACCGTGAGCTAAAATCTAATATTTTTCCCGTGTATAATACACTATTTTTTTCTGTGACAGAAGGAAAGACGAATCAATATTGAGAAGATATTACATTATTTCGAAATCTGAAAATTATCGACGTGAAATTTCAAGTTTTTAACAGTAGGGACACCTGCGTTTTATAGACATCTTTATCATTATTTTGAAGTAATCAAATATCTGATGTCACTTCTGTCAGTTCAATTCTGTGATTTGATTTTGAAAAATTGCGAATTCAGTAGTTGTTTAGTAATATACGAAACCGCGAAGTCGAATGCAAGATAAAAGGACTTGCAGTTCTTTCTCGGAGACGGTATTATTGACTCATTTTTCGGAACTATAACACAACAAAAGCCATTAACAGAGTATATATATGTGATATATATCCGGGAAAAAAGTACTCACTTTTTTCCCACGGGAAAAAAGTAATTTATGAAAAGTGACATTTTATAACCTGCCAACAGAGATGAAATGCCAAACTTTTTTCCCGTCACAGAAAAAAACACTTTATTCAAGATCACTGATTATTGATGAAATGCTTTTTACCTTTGATAAAAAAGATAAGTTTAGAAGTTAGAATGCATAGCTCTTTTAAATACGCTATTCTTTTGTAGTATCCGTAATGTTATTGGTATAGAGGATGTTCATGATTTTTGAAAAGTATAGGAAGGTTAGGTATATTATATTTTTTGTTATCAGTTACAAGACATTATATTTTTGAGATTCTGTTAGATGAATCAGACTTCCAACCAAATGTACATGGAGTGACATGGATTAATATGGTTTGAAAACAATATCTGTCACTCTCTAGTTGGCCTAGTTCATCAAAATAGACAATAAAAAACGGTTGTATGGTTTGGTGCATTTTTTGAGTCCGTATATTGAAACAAAATTTCGAAGGTTTTTCGAAATATCTCGCCGGTATTTATAGGGCTACAGGTCTCGTATCCGCCACTAGTTACAAAAGTACACGACTATTGATTCATCTGATTGCTTTCAATGTATAATGATAATATACATACATTACCTCAAAGATGATAATTATTATAGATTACACTGACGGTAACATCCGGTTGGAAAGTGATCAAATGAATCGTTTAATTAATGTTTAGCAAGCTTTCCATGATCGGCAGGTCGATGAATGGCGTTCGATTAACCAATCCCACTGTTCGGATTGGATAATTTCAATAATGGTTTTTTTAATGTTCTAATGATATTATGGAAACGGCCAGTTCAGTCATTCAATTAACGGACGAGAGCGCACATAATAATAATGAGAGAAGGGTGGATTGGATCCGCTATGTTCGATGCCCGTTTATTTCGTTCGATCTTCGATCAGTTATTAGGTAAATCGGCTGTTCGCTGTACGAGGGTCCAGACTCCAGCCAGACTAGAGTCCGATTAACGCTTGATAATGCATATTAACAAGTTGGCTGTGAATTGTAATTTGCCATTCACGAGGTGGTTTCGTGATATTACTTTAAGGTTGACCAATGGTTCACGTGGTCGAGTGAGTTAATTAACCTATTGATAACCATTTAAAACTTTGTTTATTATTCAAAAGCAGATATAATTCACACCCAATAATAAATCAAAAATACTCACCACTCTGATTCGTTGGAACTCTTATCGGACTGTGTGTTGCAATTTGCAATAGCTTATAGCCTTCTTGAATACTCAATGCTTATAGTAAGGAGGATATTGATTTACTGAATATAAATTTGAACTCCTAAACTACCTATGTATGTATATATAGTATTTATTTTGAATCGATGCACTGTAACTTGGAATCCAATAATAGTAGATTGTTTTATTAGGATCAAAAGTGACACTTTGTTTGACAAGCGTCACTTTTGATACGAATGAAACATGCATTTTTTTCTGCAACCGAAAGAATTAACTAAAATAAATATGTGAAGTAAACACCAATGCGACTTACTTGACAGATTATTATAAAACCTTTATTATAATAATTTAGGTAAGTAGATGGAAGCAAGACCTCACACTACTTTACATTAGAATGTTGGTATACGATGACTTCACTTTATTACAATTTGTGTTAACATGGATCATCAGATACTACAGGCACGAATTCAATACTATACCCGAAACGTGGATACCGTGCCATACGTATGCAATGCAACAAATAATCCGTGTGGTGGGAATATAGGAAAAAGAAGTGGAAAATGTTAGGTTAGCTAGCATATCAACAATACTAATAGCGAATATTTATTTCTCACCATATTCCGCTGTGTTTGGCTCGGTAATCAAATGAAGGTAAACAATACCGTTGTGTGAGACAAAAAAGTATCGCTGGCCGTGATTATTCAAAAACAAGTTATCCAATCAATCAGATCCCGAGAATGAATAAAATATAGATCAAGCAAGTATGTGAATCTTGAAGGCTTTCCTGGTCAAAACAAAAATACTCAACTATAATAGGGTGTATTCATATCAGGTATACGTCCCAACCCAAATAACCAACCATAACAATGTTTTTATTCTTGATTTTAGCTTCTAGGAACTAAAAGTGTTGCCTAGCAACATACCTATGTTTGTGTCAGTAATAGAAACGTCAATTCAAGAGTTAATTTTGCTATTAAAATGAACGACTTTTTTGTCGGTTGAAGAATAGTAGATTGTTTTATTAGGATCAAAAGTGACACTTTGTTTGACAAGCGAATTTTGCTTTTGCGAGGCTGAGCGTCTAGCTGAGCCGAGCGAAAGCAAAATTTGCGAGTCGAACAAAGTCACTTTTGATCCGAATGAAACATGCTATTATTACTGCAACCGAAACAATTAAGTCAAATGAATATGTGAAGTAAACACCAATGCCGTGCCATATGTATGCAATGCAACAAATATTGACAAATAATCCGTGTGGTGAGAATATTCTACCTGCATTAACAGCAGCTTCATTCAATTTTCACGGATGTTCGAATTGTAGTTTCAATATAAATACTACCACAGAGTGACATATTTGTGTATGGACCATGTTATGTTAGTGAGCATATGAACAATAATAATAGCGATTATTCATTCCTCTCCATATTACACTGTGTTTGACTTGATAATCAAATGTAGGTGAACAATATCGTTGTTTGGGACAAAAAAACTAATGCTTGCCGTGATTATTCAAAAACAAGTTATCCATCCCGAGAAAAACGAATGAAATACAGATCAAGCAAGTATTTGAATCTTGAAGGCTTCTCTGATCAAAACAAAAATACTTAACTGAGATGTTTATAATTCCAATACTTAACTATAATAAGGTGTATTTATATCTCCAGCATGGGTATGAAATGCCAAATCTGCCGAAATCGGAAACAAATCAGGTATGCGTATCAACCCAAATAACCAACCGTAACAAAGTTGTTTATTCTTGATGACGTCCAGTACATCCTTTTTTGTTCCTAGGAGCTAAAGTTGAACTATAGCTCCTAGGAACTAAAGTTCAATTTTAGCTCCTAGGAACTAAATATGTTGCCTAGCGACATACCTATTTTCGTGTCAGCAATAGAAACGTCAATTTAAGAGCTAATTTTGGTATCAAAATGGACGACGTTTGTGTCGGTTGCAGAAAAATAATATTGTACGTAACACGATAGCAACAAAGAGTTACACAAATTACGTAAATATCTAGTATGTAACTAGTTAGGAAATGTCAATAAACTTGCTCTTTCGTTCCAGGGTTCGGACGCGAGCTCGGTGATATTCGCATCGACGCCGGCGTCGAGGAAGCGCGAATTCCCCGGCGCCCTGCCGCCCAGCCTGCCCAGCCTGCAGCATGGCGCGAGCGGAGGCGGCGGCGGCTCGCCCGTGCCTGCCCCCACGCCGCCCCACCTGCCGCCGCCCTCGCCGGCGCCCGCCCAACAGCCGCCCACCGACGTGCCGGCCACGACGACGGCAGCGGTGAACTTTGTCGCACCGACGGTGATGGCGACGGTCACCGTAAAACCGACGCAAGGTTAGTACTTTTTCTTGCATTCTGAACGACTTCCGACCGTGGTAGTGATCAGATGGCGATCACGTTGTCTGGGAGGTTAATGTTTGGTGTGTATTAGTACAACATTTTTCTAAAATTACCAGAGTTTATTAAGTGTGTGTAAAAAATATTAGGCCCTTTTATCTCTACGCCGGTACCCAGGGCGGATGTTGACGGATTCATCGGATAACGGGGCCATAATAATTGAAGTCAAACGTGCTCCTTTATTGCTACGCTGGTACCCAGGCCGGATAACAACGGATATGTGGGATAAGAGGAGTACAGGGTGATTCACCATAAATACCCCTCCTCCTTTAGCTCACCTATTTTGGAATCAGTTTCAAAATTTAAAAAAATATTTGAAATGATTTTTTAGAGTTTTCCTTCACTACGTCAGAAAATACAGGGTGCTCGGAACTAACGATCTACAGAGTACTAGTTGTTTTTTTAATCTAACACCCTGTATTTCATGGCATTTTTAGATTCTTCCTTAAAGACTGATTTCGTGAATGTATCCATACTTGGTGTCTAGCGGGAATGATTACAGGGATATAGGGTGTTCCGAGGGGTGTTCATAATCGAGATTTTTCAACTTTGGGATTTTTTATGTCGAAACTATTCATTATTGGTCAAAAAGGCTCTCATGGCCCTATCTTAACTTTTGATTTACTATCTACTTACATTATATTGAATCAAGTTGCCAAGGAAAAATTGTTTCGATGAAGTTTTACTTTCTATCTGTTTTACAGGTTCATTCAAAATTTACATTATTGTAATTATGATGTCAACTCAAATATATACAGTATCATTATCTGCATAAATGCTCTAATGGTTCATTGTGATGAAGCGTCATCGTTAATAATGAAAAAAAAAATCATCTTGTATTTGTTCAAATTATTAAATGTCAGTAGATAGTAAATCAAAAGTTGAGATAGGGACATGAGGGCCGTTTTGACCAATAATGGATTGGTTGGACACAAAAAAATCATAAAGTTGAATAATCTCGATTTTGAACACCAGATATCTCTGTAATCAATCCTGAGTGTGATATATTGATGAAATCAGCTCTTCAGGGAGGGTCTAAAAATGCAAAGAAATATAGGGTGTTCCATTAAAAAAAAACAACTAGTACGCTGTAGATCGTTTGTTCCGAGCACCATGTATTTTCGGATGTAGTGGAAACAAATTATCAAAAAACATTTCGAAAGATTCTTCAAATCTTGGTATCGATTCGAAAATAACTAAGCTAGAGTAGGGAACATATATGGTGAATCATCCTGTACATACGATAGAATCTTATGAAAATTGATGAACTCGGCTCCCAGCTATGGTGACGGACAATCGGTGTATTTAGTGGTAGAGTGGAGAGATAATATTATTACATAACTACCGGGTGTTTTTGAAAAGTTGCTCACCCCTATATCTTTTTTGTTTCTACAGATAAACAAATGAAATTCGGTTTGTGAGTATAGTATAAATATGCATTATTTGACGTATTCAATTGTTTTGTGCCACTTCCGGTTTGACCCTTATTTTCTCATTTTAAATGGAACACCCGTTATATTTTTACTTATTTCGATACAGAATTACATCGTTAGTCCAATGACACCCTATTTGCCTCTTTTTGACATTTTAAATGATATCATGTCATTTCAACTGTCATTTATCATATCACAATTCGTGATAACGAACTGAAAATAAAAAATAGTGATTCTTGAGAATTTTTGCCGAAACCAATGAGTTCAATATGGCTGCGCGCAAATGCTTTATCAAAAATTGTTTAATATTACTTTTCAAAGCCTCCTTAATGTTTTTTTTTCATTATTAACGATGACGCTATCACAATAAACCATTAGACCGTTAATGAAATTCAATTCTAGTTCAGATTCCATAGCTATCAATTTGACGTCTACTGTGATCAACAGTAAAGTTCCCATATCTAACGGATACGAAATTTTATTCATTCATAGCGAATTCCATTGGCAGTAACTGGTGGAGTGTTTCTGCACTGAGTGTATACTCACCTCCGTTTAACACATGCAAGTAAGAAGGATACTTATACATTGAGTGCAGAAACACTCCACCAGGTCCTGCCAATGGAATTCGCTATTAGTTGATTGAGATAGCCCGAGATAATCTACTTATCCGTATTCTGGATTGTGAACAAACCAATCCACCATAACCTTATCTCGAACTGAAATTCCGTTACAGAACCCCTACCACCACCACCGCCGCCACCGCCGACGATACCGCTCGCCGCCTTGCCGCCCCCGCCTCCACCGCCGCCCTCGCATCCCGTTCCGATGCCAGGTCTGCCCACGGCGGCCGTCGCCCCGATGCCGCAACCGGCCGCCGCCCCCGTGGCCCACCACCCGCCCGCCCTCGACCCCGCCGCCATGCTGCCGGGCGGCCGCGCGACGCGCACCGACAGCCCGGCCGTCGCGACGTCCGCCAATGCGGCGGCGGCGCCCTCGCCCGGCCACTACCACCACCATCCGGCGTTCGCGCAGCGCGGTCAGCTGTATGCGCCGTACGCTGCGGGGGCGGGGGCTGGGGCGACGGTGACAAGAACGTCGACGGCGTATACGGAGAAGAGTGACGGTGAGCAAAAAATTTTCTGTTGATACACCAAGGTAGTAATAGTATATTATTCGACGAGCGTGTAATGATGGCCATTACTCATGAGAATGAAGTTTGCGACGTGAGCCGCAGGCGAACGTCGTAATCATTCGAATGAGTAATAGCCATTACACGCAAGTAGAATACTATACTTTTTCTATGACTGATTGATGAACTGGTTGAGTTCATCAACAGTGAATATCTTCGCTTTCTTTGACATATATCGATCAGATTTCCTTCTTAGAAATGCTCGTAATTTCAAATATTTGTCAATATTCACATAATTTTCCATTGAAATTGTGCTTCTTAGTATATGCATGGAATACTGTGACCACAAGGAGGATGCTTTGTGTTTAGCTGCTAATTCGCCAAAATAGGCTAGCAGTACATTATCCGAAAACGAATTTGCAAGTTTTGCTTTTCGCTCCACTAGACTTCATACCTTTTTTTAGATTCCTCGGGCAAAAGGCTGATTGTACTTGAATTGGCAGCTTTCGAAACTTCTGATGGTGGAGAGCAGTTGAATTCATTTTCGCTTTCTGAATCCATATTTGTACAAAAAGTCAGTTCTAAATCACGCCAGATAGCTATTGTCAAATTATGACATTTCATGACGAGTCTGATTCAAACGTTTCACTGCATGCCCCATATTATCATCACAGCTGGTGTCAACTGTTTTGTAGGTAATGAATCTGCTTTGTTGCTGATTGGCCATAGCCTGTTGTGTAAAGGCTCTTACACACGGTGCGTGGCTTGTTTTGTGTAATGCATCCAGTTACCCAACAAAAATGTTACATTAAAAGGGTCTAGTTTTCAACAGTCATAGAAAAAGAATATGATTATTAGCCATGGACCAAGATTATATTCCGAGGCTTCAGCCGAGGGGAGTATATGGTCCCGTGGTAATAATATTCTCTGTTGATAGATTAGTTAAGATTAGATTATCGGCTTTCTTAGTTAAAAATAAGATCGTCACTAATGCTCAGTTCGGTTTTCAAGCTGGGAAAGATACAAATGATTTTCTTTTTTGTTTGACGTTTACACAGAGATAAATCGAGGTGAAGTTACTGCGGCAGTATTCTGTGAATTATCTAAGGCATTCGACTGTGTGAACCACGGAATACTGTTGCGAAAGCTTTACCACTATGGATTCAGGGGTGTCTCTCAGAAATGGATAGCTTTGAACAAAAAATTGTCTTCTGGATGTTATGCGGTGAGAGTCACATCAAATGAACTAGGATTTTCTTATTCTCTTTAGTTGAATCTCATTTGAGGTATGGAATTCCATTTTAGGCGGTGTGTAATGATCAACCTATTACCTATATGTGCAAAGCAGACCCCTTTTCATCAAACACAAAATTTTAACAGTTTATGCGATCTTTGTCATGGAGACGGTCTGTTTAATTAAAAAACATCTAGGAAAATTTGACACTACCCCTGCACACCATGCCACCCGACAAGCTGGTAACATCAAGTTACCAATTCCATCATTGGCTCCAGTTAGAGATTCAATAATTTATGTAGGCTGTAAAATGTACAATTTTTTACCAAAAGGTATCAAAGAAGATCCAATAAAAAATTCAATCAGAGAATAAAAACACTCTTTTCGGATAAACCCTATTATAGTTTACAAGAGTTTTTCAATTATACATTTTAACCATAAAATCATTTTTAAAAGGAATATTTTCATATGTAGTAATGTGTCTCTTATGAACTATCTTATGAGAGTGTTTAAATTTCAAATAGATTTTAAAATGTTGCGGTGTTATAATAGTGATTTCCTCTAGTTCTAATTTTCATTTTTATTTTTTTTAAGGTTATAATTTCGACTTAATTTGTCAATAAGATTTCACATCTTTAGACAATAAAGCATATTCTCTTTATCTCTCTTTTACGCCGGAGGCAGGAGAAGTTAGTTTTACGTGTTGTAAATTTCAACACAATGGGTCAAGCCGTTTAGTAGTTGACGTAACGACAGCAGCGCTACGTACCGCGTCTAATTGTATTTTCAAATCATCCAGGAAATCATCGAAATACCCATATAAAATTTCAACCCAATCGGCTCAGCCGTTTAGAAATTATGTGAAAAAGATAAGTACAGAAGGATAATTCTTACTATTCGTTGTCCTATTACCAGATTTCCTTAAAAATGAAGCATTTTCTCGCGATGAAGAGAAGCCTATGCTCATCAGGGATAATGTCGGCTTCTAGTGGTAAAATATTTTTCAAAGCGTCCAGTAGTTTCGGTGCCTATTCAATACAAACAAACAAATAAACAATCAAACAATCAAATCTTTCCTCTTTATAATATTTGTGTAGACTACTAGAGCGTATCTTAAATGTTTTTCATCACTAGTAATATATTTCAATTACTATAGTTCTGTGAAAGTGAAATATGAACCTATTGTCACTATGAAGCACTTCTTTTCAATTCCAATTAAAATCTAGTAGTCACCATGACAGCATTATGACAAATCGTTATTGTAAATACCTACTAGATTCAAGTGCCATTCCTGCGAATCTCGCATAAGAACAGTGAATTTGGGTTAATAATATCAGAGGTCTTTCATCTTCATCTTTCAAATTGACTTCAATTTTTTCATTTCCCTTTTCCGTAGCCCTCTGTTCACTGAAATGGTTGCCTACAGTATATTATGTAGTTTATAATTAAATACTTCTTTCAATATTTGATAAGATGTTCAATCTCATCAGAGCCAGTTTTTTCTGGCTCTTTACCAAATATAAAAAAAATTCCACATGTGCCCGACTCTGATAGACCATTGACGATTATTTGCTTATTAACATGTCTGTTTTCCATAATAATGCACCATTTCAGCATTATGACAAATCGTTATTGTAAATACCTACTAGATTCAAGTGCCATTCCTGCGAATCTCGCATAAGAACAGTGAATTTGGGTTAATTATATCACACTACGCTTTGAAAGTAAGTAAATAATGGTAAATAATACATCTTCGGAAAACGTGTTACTGGCTTATTTTGGGAAACAGAGACTGTGATGTCATTATTATCAGATTATCATTCAAGTGGTCACCAAGCGACTGGTCCGGGTTCAACCCAGGGCGGACCAGTATTTTTTTACTCATTTCAATCAAACGCGTCTGCTCAATGTGCAGGAACCCTCAAACTGCCGTTCATGACAGCGAGTGTTCGTAAACATGAGTAAGACTGAATAACATATAATGACAGGTCCTAAATGCGTAGGATTCATCTTCTCCAGTTCGATCACGTCAATAGCTTACCTTCTTACTCATGGCATTTGCAGTCCATAATACCCGAGGTTATTGTAACCTGTGTAGTATATTTTTGTACATCTGCAAACAAATGGAGTATTTATTCTTTATAAACTTTTCTCCTTAAAATCACCCGAGGATTCACACCTTGTATTATCCACTCAATTGAATAGCACCCTGTATACAACTCCCCGCTACGCGACGTCGTGCTAAATATCACTCGAGCAAAGATTACTGAATAGTTTATCTTCTGTAGTCTATGACTCGAGCGAAATATGTGACTTTTCACACCAGTTATACAGGGTGTTTCAAAAAAACCTAACCCCCTTGCTAGGGTAGGTAGAACATTGCAAAATAAGTTGGGTTTGCTCAGTAAAAAAAGTCGTAAAGCCATCCGTTTTCAAGATACAAGGTGTTCAAAATATATTTTTTTTACCCAATTTTTACGATTATGTTGAAACTACTAGCAACATTGTAATGAAATTTCATATGGATGTGTTTTGAAACCTGACACATCGCATGAGTTTGTTTTTATATCTGACACTCATAGAAGGCGCTAGTTACACGGTTCGTACCGAGTACTTTTAAACATAACTTTTTGATGTTTTGAGATTTTTCACTTCAAATTCAATGTGAACTTGAACATCATTCAATTTTACACTAAAAAGGTGCTCTTGGTAAAACTTGATACTGTGTGCTGTTTTCTGGATATTTCGATTTGAAAATAATGAAGTATAACACCGATGCTAGTTGAAAGTAAGTATTATAAAATATTGTTACCTATTTATTGATTTACCACGTCAAGAGCTGCAAGAAAGAATTGAACATCACTTCGATGATCTCATAGCTGATCCTCAACCATTGAGAAGATTGATGCATTCTTTAGAAAAAAGGATCGAATTGTGTATTCGTGAAAACGGAAGACATTTTGGACACTTACTCTAACTAGATGATGTTTTCAGTCAAATTTAATTAAATATGACCTGATGTGATTTTGTTTAATCGATAACTTCAGCAGTGAAATAATGTTAATGTTTTTTGTCCTTAATGAATAGATTATTATTTTTTATAATACTTATTCTAATACCAGAATCAGAGTTATTGCTTCAGCATTTTCAAATCGAAATATTCAGAAAAAGGTACACATTATCGAGTTTTACCAAGAGCATCATTTTGCTGTAAAATTGAATGGTGTCCAAGTTTACATTGAATTTGGACTGAAAAATCTAACTTCAAAAAAGTTATGTTCGAATGTACTCGGTACGAACCCTGTAACTAGCGCCCTCTATGAGTGTCAGATATAAAAACAAATTCATGCGGTGTGTCAGCTTTTAGAACACATCGATACAAAATGTCATCACAATGTTGACGGTAGTTTCGACATAATCGTAAAAAATGTGTAAAAAAAATATTTTTACAACACCTTGTGCGGATGCCGTTACGAAATTTTTTCACTGAGCAAACCCAACTTATTTTGCAATGTTCTACCTACCCTAGCAAGGGGGTTAGGTTTTTTTGAAACGCCCTGTATGTAATATGTTATGTTATTTGCCGCCTTGCACTAATCTAACTATAACACGTTTCAGCGTACCTTCCCACTCCTACCGTGCCCGGCGCCAAACCTGCCTCGGCGTCGATCGAGTCGCCAGCGCAGCCGCTCACCCACCAACCGGCGGCGGTGCCAACGCCGGTCGCCAGCAAAGGGCCGCCCCTCGAAAGGGAAAAGCCGACGGTGCCGGTAGCGCCGAGGGCGGCGAGTCCAGTCAGGGAGAGTAGGGAGAGTTACAGGTGAGTTGTTCTCTTGCCCGAAGGAACTTTCTCTTCATGGTGTTGTGCTGAAACCGCTGTACTCTGTGGGGTGGCCCACGAGGTTTTGGCCAGTCGATATCTCGAAAACTATTTGAACTACAATTTTGAATTTTTGTGGTTTTGAACAATGGAATGCGGTGACCATTTTTGGTATAAGAGGGTTTTATTGCAACATCGCATTTCCAATCACGTGATATCAACTTCATAATTTCAAATGGAACACCCTGTATATTATTGCATTTTTGTGAAGACCTTCCTAATGCAAATACTACGATACCATCATTGTCAGGGTTTTCATGTGAAACGGTGACAATATGAGCTGTCAAATAAATGGAAAATGGAAAATTTATTAAAGAACAACAGTATAATTAGGAAACAAAATGAGTAGAAAAAGCATTACAGTTGATGCTCAAATTGATGTCCATCTTCATGAACGCAATGCTCAAATCTTGTTAAAAGATTTCCAGTGCATGCTGCTCTAATCATTTCAGGTGTAACAGTTTGGCACGCTGCTCTGATTTTGTTTTGCAAATCATCTAAATTTGTAGGCTGTGTAGAATAAACCAAACCTTTCAAATATCCCCAGAGGAAAAAGTCTAAAGGTGTCATATCTGGGGAACGAGCCGGCCAATTTATTGTACCATTTCGCCCAATCCATTTTTCACGGAAAGTATTATTAAGATATGTCGTAACTTGCCGGGCATAGTGAGGAGGTGCACCATCCTGCTGCCACCACATCGTCTCTCTTTCGTTCAAGGGAATATCTTCAAGTAAAGCGGGAAGCATATTCTGGAGAATATCTAAATACCTTTCGCCGGTCAAAGTTCCTTGATACAAATACGGCCCAATCAAGCGGCCGTTGAATAAACCGCACCAGACATTTAACCTCATATTGTCTGGAAATTAGTTTCTCGCATCCATTTCGGATTTTCAGCCGACCAGTAGTAACAATTGTGACAATTGTACCGTTGTTGTGAAATCGACTTTCATCAGTCCACAATATTTTATTTAAAAATAATGGGTCATATGCGAGTTTTACTGTCATTTCAGCTATAAAAATTAGTCTTCTTTCAGGGTCTGCAGGGTTCAAACCTTGTGTTGAATGTATTTTGTAAGGATGATAATTATGATTCTTCAATACTCTCTGGATTGTAGTTCTACTTACTCCACATTCTTGCTCAAGACATCTGGGTTAAGTGGAAGAATATTTTTGGTTATGTCTAGTACACGACCAAAAATAAACTTCGCCCTTTATGGTCAATATAATCTATGTTACCAAGACTGTATGCATGTAAACCTTTAGTTGACTATAATAAAGACGATTATTATTATTATTATTATTATTATTATCTAGTTGAGATATGTGGGTGTACTTGAACATAAGCCAGAATATTAATTACGTTATCCTCTGTTTGAATAGGCTTTCTGCGTGGAATTTGCTGTTTTCCACTAGGAAAAGAACCATTTCTTAATTTCTGTTCCATATAAGCGAAAGTATTTTTACTTGGAGTTGTTCGGTCGGGAAAACGTTCTCTGTACAAGTCTCGAGCATGCCTACTATTTTTTCGACACTCGCCGTATATGAGTAGCATATTGACATACTCGTCGTAAGTAAAATGTAAAGGCATACTAGTCTTGATACTACTTGTACACAAAGCCAATCTACTGATACTGATTGACAGCCCTTGACAAGTGCGATGTATTTCTGTTGCTAGGATACTTTTTCTCTTCCTAACCTATCACGTTTTTTGAATAAAAATACAGAAATGTTCATAAAAACCTCTTTATCTTAACTGTAGTGCCGAAAAACCGCTGACAATTATGGTATCGTAGAATTTGTATTAGAAAGGACTTCACGAAAATGCAATAATATACAAGGTGTTCCATTTGAAATTTTGAAGTTGATGTCACGTGATCGGAAATGCGATGTTGCAATAAAACCCTCTTATATCAAAAATGAACACCACATTCCACTGTTTAAAACCACCCAATTTCAAAATTATAGTTCAAATAGTTTCCGAGATATCGACTGGCCAAAACCTCGTGGGCCACCCTGTATAAAATGCGTTATATGTGAATAGCCGAATAGCCCCATAGTTGTGCAATGTTTTGTTCTCATCTAACCAAACACATAAATATTTTTTTCTACAAGCGTGCGTGATTCACCCTATACCCGCACGCAATTTAGTTTGGAAAGTGTCATTTTCCCGCAACAGTACGGGAAAATTTTCCCACACTAGTGCGGGAAATTTTTTCCCGCACTAGTGCGGGAAAACAAAGATATGATATAATCGCTAGTAATATAAGTGGTTGGTGATGGAATATAAAAGTTTAAGATTGTTTGTTGCAGTATTAAGTATGTATGTTCAGAATCATCCATCAAATTGCACTATTTATTGTAAAAATTAAGAAATATTGAGAAATAAAAATGGATTATTATAAAAATCCCCCTATAGATTTCGATTGATCTGACGGGAAACGTCAATTTGTCATGCCAATCAAACCTCAAATAAGTTTGAGATTGTCGAAGTGACAGACACAGCGTTACTGTCATTTTCGATTCAGTGGAAATGCCACAATGTGATCAAAAACTTCTAGCTATAGGGATTTGATACAGATGCGTTAATATCACCAACGAAGTCTTAAGAAAGGTATGAGAAGCTATACACGCGTTTAATTGAATGGTGCAACAATAAAGAAATGAAAAAACCGAATGAAGAATAGGTATTTTTGGCTCATTCCATAGAAGTGTCTGGAACCTAGAGACCAAACTCCTAATGGGCCTGCTGGCTTCCGCAATGAACCAACATAATGCGTCAAACTGGTTCACAATAGCTATTACTAATAATTAATAGATAGAGAATATATATCTCTTGTTAGTTGTTCCTATTTGCTTGAATAATTAATTGAACGATACAATCAATTTCCTACGCTTGTAGAAAAAATATTGTTCCAAACTCATGCGGAAAGTGTCTTTCCCGCACTCGACTGCTTGCCCGAACTCCGCTTCGCGTCGTTCGTGTCAACGGCAGTCACGTGCGGGAAAGAATCACTTTCCGCACTTGTTAGGAAAATTACTATTATCGTTCTCGATAGGTACTGAAAAAACATTTGGATTACGGAGATTCAAAATATACATAAAAATCAAGACTCTATTTCATCTTCCAGAAATAGCAGCATGTAGGTCATCCAATGCGACTATACTCAATTGATACATAAACTATTGTTAGCAACTGTTTCGAAATTTACCTTTTTTCGTTTTAGAAGTTTTTGCCTTTGAAAAAATATCATTACATACTGTCAGCTCTTGAGATACTGACATTATTATTTTCTCCATTTGTTGTGAAATGCATAACTTGAGTTATCCCTACTAATCGTTTCAGTAGCGTCAGCAGTCTTAGCCGGAGCAGCGTGACGACGACGCTCAGCTGTCCGCAGTCTCTTGCAACCACCGCAGTGTCTTCTAGTCTATCGATCAACGCGGGCAAGCCGTGGGGCAGCCAAGGCACCGCCCAGGTGGCGCCCGTGGCCGCCCAACCGTTGCCCGCTTTGCCGCCCAAGCCGACGCCGCCCCTGCACTCGTACCCGTCAGCGACGCCGCCCATGTTCGCGGCGCCGCTGCCGCCCGCCGTGTCAAGGGCCAGTCCGATGGCCGCCCCTTCGAATTTGCCGCCGCCCGCGGCGAATCCCAATCCGTTTTCGGCGGAGAGTTTGTTCCAGACCAATAAGTATCCGACTAGTAAGTTGAAATAATAGTAGTTCTTTATTGAACCAAAATATGATCCAAAGATGACATGCCCTTCTACCCATGGCCTTTGATCAATGATACATTGACACATTTCATGTGGATTTTTCAAATATGACAAGTGATACAAAAAGTAGACATTAGAATATATAGGTACTGAAATGGAAAAATATAGAAATTATGAGTAAACTCAGAGGTTAGCAGTAGCAAGGTGCTCTATTATCTCCGGGGAGTTTTTTTCTGGGTACTTGTAAGTGTTGTGAATGTTGGGATCCTTTGTGCAACAGGCTCTTCTCACTTTCTCCAAGTTCCCATCTCTTTTGCAATTTTTTTTTGCCAGGGCCATAATTCTTGCATCTATTGGAGGATTGTTCAAGGTCTAGTATACCAATTGGTTAGGGGGATGGTGAGATGGTTTGATTATACTGTGGCAGTCTGAATAATTCAATATGTTATATATACATAATTTATGAAGTGCTGAAGTCATCAAATACTATGTTTTTTATTGTTAAGTTGATAATATTTATATAAATTGGTGACCTCGGCGTCATTTGGCGACACATCATATAATTATGCATAACATATTGAATGAGTGAGACTGCTACAGAAAAAGTAGGCATGCCACAGTTTTAATCGCCAGTTCTCAAGAAGATATTGAAGAACAATGCATTCTTCTTGATGCCTGGACTGCTACCATGGCATAGAACTATTACCACAAAGAGACAATTATTTAACATACCATACTATTGTTGGTGCGGTCAGGCTGGGAAGTGCTGGTCGTTAGTTGAACATGGTATAGTTATAAACAAGATTCAATCATCATTGAATCATTTCTGAAACATACATTGGTCGAATTGACAAAAGATATAATATGGAATAAATATCTACTACAACTGTCTGTGCATTGTTAATGTTAGTTTATTCAAAGATCCTTCAAGTCACGTGACATAGTGCATCATGCCATCAATGAACAGATGAGAAATGTATGAAAATTAGGATGTAACCGTGACTCAAAAGTTTTAGGTCAGCAAATTACCTATTTGTTCATATGTGTCAGTGGCCCGAAGAAAATATTATTTCAAAATGATAGTACATGAATGTAGATTCTTGAATTTTCTATTGGAAAGTAAATAATGGGAATATGTAATATTTGGAAAATTACATGAATTCAAATTCACTCTTCACCATATTTATCCATTGAACTACGCCATGTTTCTTCAATGAATGGTTTCCTGTTGACATTTGATAGCTTGGGCATATCTCATAGCTATTGAATAGGGGACTTGCTACTGTTATTTGAAGTTTGCATACATTTCAGTTACATTTGATTAATTACTTTACCTTTCCTCCAATACCTTACATCTGATGATTTATAGTTTCAATAAACAACGACGCTATAGCCTATGGCATTTTCTGTATATGAATTGAATGATTTGCCTTCCTCTTGTGATGATAATTCTCAAGCTAAGTGCTCTATTGAATAATTTCAGATCAAGCAGACATGCTAAGGAGAGAATTGGATAGCAGGTTTCTAGCATCACAAGATCGTAATTTAGGGGTGGCGCCACCACCTTATTTGAGAACAGAAATGCATCAGCATCAACATCATCACACACATGTACATCAGCACACCACCTCGTTACTTCCCCCTCCTGCTGGATCGACATTGTACCCCAGTCAGTTGGTGAGTAAAATAATATACTTCAACAATATCATTAACCGCCTAAAAAAAACAAGTTTTCTAAATTCTCAGAAACTGTTTGACAAAATAAAATCCTGTAAAAAAAGTTTACCAATAATTGAATCAACTCTAACTGCTACTTAATTTTGCTTTACTTATATGTACTCTTACATCACTGAATCATTTGAACAATAATTTGAATAAACTGAAAACTTTCGGAAATTCTATAGAACAATGGACTCCTGAAAGTAATTGCTTTTATGCAGTTCAGCTCATTTCGTTCAATTAACCAGTATCAAAGAGGTAATTCAATTGAGAATGTTCAAATACATTTGTTGTTCATGTGTTTTCAATGTGCTTTCTTTTCAAGTCAATGTCTCCAATGGAACGTCTAGCAAGAAGAAGTCAGAGTTGTGTGAGTATTATTTGGAAGGTATCTTATTTGAGATAAATGTGGCAGTTGGCATACAAAACAAATTTTCAATTGGATTAAAAAAACAATGATGATGTCTTCATTTTCTCAGTCATTGAGTCCATTACTGTAGAATATACAATTCTCCCCTAAAAAGCTGGTGATTCTAAATTCTAAAGTATAGAAGTTTATATAAAAACTGAACAGGTTTTGAATCGTTTGGTTCACAAAATTCGGGGTTGAAAGTTGAAAATTCATTTGCCTGAAATCGTAGTTTCTTAGTTAATCCCATTGTATTTTGTCAAAAATGGTTGGCATTTGGAATCTTCCAATGTTGATCAAAGGATGATACTCCGTTTTTGATAAAAATGTGCCTTGAAGATGCAAGTCAAATAGATGATGGAAATGTTGTCATTCACATAGGAGGGAAAATAGGTTCTTCACCAAAGCTTGTGCAAGGTGTTAATGAGGAAGTATATTTTTATTTTCAAATCCATAATCCTGTAATTCAGAAACCCATCGTTAACTGACCATCTTTATATGTTTTTGTTTCTCATTTATTGGCATAATATTGAATCACTAATTTAATTAGGAATATGATTATTTTTTTACTGAGAATGTTTTGTTTGTTTCATGTTGTTGAAAGTATGTTACTTTTCTGTTTATCAAAAGTGTTTTGACGTCATAGGTTGATTTCATTATCCTTTCTTGAAATTCCTATGGCATAAAACGGCATAAAATAGATCTGAATTGTTGACAAGGTATTTACTGATGAAATAAAAATCGAACTGGCAACCCTGGTACGCACAGAGAGTGAGTTGACAACAACTGTCATTTGCTTTTATCAAATCAATTATTCACTAAATTCGATAGATTTCACGTGTGAATAGGACCTTGATGTAGATTTAAGTGTCGACGAAAAAATGTAATATGCACCTCGGCGAAAAACTGTCTATTGTCTCGCCTGATTGCTAGCCTCGGCTGTCCCTGGTACATAAATAACTAATTTCTTCAATTATTATTGTTCCTACATACAGTGTGGAGACTTTAACTGGAATAAATTCGTTAGCGGGGAGGTGAATATTTTTTCTAAAAATTCGCGGCATACGTCAACGATTAAATGTATTGAGCTACTTTTTGCATGCAATATCGAGAATATATCCCTCCAGGGGTAGCTGAAACCACCCTTTCAAAATTATTTTTTTCAACGTATCAATCGCTCAAAATGTGTGTTGAACAATTGATGACAATTTTTTGCCACAACTGCTATCTGCTATTGTATTCCAGTGTTTTTATAGAGCCGCAAAAAGAAATTTAGCTTTTTTGCCGTACTCACAGTTCCAAACGCACCGCAAACTGAAATAATACAGTACGCTGGATTCCTCGTTCAACCAGCTTTGCAATGAGGAGTCGCAAGCCATAGGGTTGCATTTGAAAAAAACATGTTGGGGTTGATTCCAGCTACCCCTGAAGGATATTCTCCATATTGCTCGCTAAATGTAGGTAAATACATTTAAACCTTGTCGTGTCTCGCGAATTTTCGGAAAAATCATTCACTCCTCCAGTAGCAAATTTATTCGAGTTATAGTCTCCACCCTATATTATTACTTGTAGTTCAAAGATATACCGAAATTGGGTGGCGTCGACTCGTCATTCTACAGACAAAACATCGGCCTTCCGGGAACCTATCCGGGCTACACTCCAGGGCTGATGCATCCGGGACTCACCACGGGCCCTACGCCCTTCGTACCGCCCACACATCTGCCCACCTTCCAACCTAAGGTTAGTTTATCTTCTCTGTTCTCGCTGGAATATTGCATCTCACATCATCTTATTAGAAATAACACATGTTGAAAGTCCTCTCTGGTACATTGAAGAAGCTTGAGATAAAAGATATAATGTACAGTCGTATTCAATAAAAAGCGTACAAGTATTAAAAAGAGAGGATTTCGGGATCCTAGTTCTAGTTGTGTAAAGCTGGTTATGACAACTTTACTGTCAACATTTGGTGAACAATCATTCCCGATAGCCCGTTTTATGCAGAATAGGATGACGTTAATTTCTCTCTGTAATATACTTGTATGCTTTTTATGCGACTGTATACAGCTCATTGTTCATCACTGAAATATGTTTATAAGGGTAATCGAAATTTCAAAGTAAATTATGGGGATAACAACATCTGTGAATTTAGTGTTCCTGAAAAATGTTACACACTGCCTTCTAAAATATTCAGCCTATTATTTTGAATCTCTAATCACTAAACAATTTCGAACTGCCAGCAACAGTAAATTGATTATTGATTCATTCAGGAAATTTGAGATATAGTGTGAATAAAAGTATATTGTTTATTATTCCAGATTTTATGGTATTTTCTCTCCTCGTTTCTATAAAATAAAAATATGAATATTATTTTAATATACGTGTAGTAGTAAGGACCCAATATGTCACTGTGTTTAAAAAATTTTTCTATCAGAGAGCCTAAACAAAAAATTCACTAGCTTGTCAGTATATTGTTCAACGAGCAGGGAGTGATAGTCATTGTCCACGAGGATGAAGTTTGCAAATCATATGAGTGGGAAATTAGCGAAATGTTTGATTTCTTCAGCTTGTAGCCATCAGATTTTCTCTTTAGTGATGTTCATCTATCAGACAGGGCTGTCATTGCTTGAAATCAGACATTTCATTGGACATGAGATTTTGTGAACTAATAACACAATGAAGTCATTGTGATATCAGATACGGAAATAAAATTGATAACATTCAAATTACCTCATTGATGACTTGATGAGTATCTTTCTCATCAACAGAAAATAATAAAATCTTATTTTGAATTATTTTATGACAAACTCCAAATGAAATCAAGGAAAAAGTATACCTCACATCGAAGACTCACAATCTGGTGGATAATCATGATATGTCAGATTATGCTAAAAACTAGAGAAAATATAGGTAGTGCAATTTGAAAAAATGGAATTCTAGTACTTTCTGAAAATAGATCACCCTGTTTATTCAGATAATGTTTCTGATTCATAGTTCACATAATCATAATAGGCCTCTTTATAAAAATATATAATACAAACACAACATTTTACTTCCTTTACATCCTTCATATCTTATTTCATTTGTTGTTCCCTTCATTCCACATTATGGCATGAAATTACCCAACTATTTTGTAATTCAACTCCTTCATCTCTCATTATGTTTAATTTATCACATGAATGTGAACTGTATAAAAATTGAGATTGGTGTCAAAGTATCTTGACACAAATTAAATAAATATATTGAAAGAAAATCACAAACTTAAACTTGAAAACATCTCAATAGTATCATTCAAATTCAAGAGAGTAACTACAGAAAAAGTATTATTCTTATCGTTTTTTTCTCAATCTAGAACTGGCATCTCCATTGGATCACTATAATTACTTTTTTGAGGTGGAGCTGACAGACAGAAATAATTGCTTGTTAGTTGGTCAATTACAAGTTTTCCTATCAGTATTATATAATTGATAATTATATTGGAATTATTATTAATGTTATTGCTATCGGAAATTCATCTAATAGACAAATAATAATCCTGTTTTGAATATCTCATAATTGAATATTAATTGAACAAATTTAAATGCTAATTAGAATATAAATTACATTGACTGACATTTGCAAATATTCAGGTTTTGCAGTGATATCAGGGAATATAGAAAGTATATCCTATCACATTAAATCTATTTCTATATGTACCAATTTTCAGATGATTTATATCCGATTGTTCCAGAAAAAAATTGATGTTTTGTCAAATAATCGTTCCCTACGTATTTTTTCCCATAGTTTCAAAGTATGATTTGACAATTTAATTGGAACTCCACAGGCTGATTCTTAACTTATATGCTTTAACTTGGGAAAGTGGATCATCATGAGGTCAATAAGGAACAAACACAATTTTTAAATATATCGGAAGATTGAGATTCTGATTTTCTTATGATTATCCTCAATAACATCAAAAACTCTCCACTGTGTTTCTCTTCTAACTTTGAGAAAACTGATTTGTATGACAATGAATTTGAATTTATGGAAACACAGATTTACTGGCTGCCGGTCATACGATTCCTCATGGAAATATGCTCAAGAGTTTTCTCATCAATTTTTGACAGATAAACGTCACATTCAGTTGGATATTATAGCTGCCATTGGGCCGCTGATCGGAAGGTACAAAATGATTTGAATTGCCATTAGGAATAATCGAATGTTCAGAAAATTATTATGGTTTCCAACTATACCATAGCACATTTAGAAATGAGCTCACGCACGTGTATTCCATATTCCTAGGATGAAAAAACAAGATGGCTCCAGTATCGAAAATGCTTTTATTTAACTGAATATATCTTGACATAACTAATAACCTACTAATTGTGTGGTTATAGTTAGTCCTTCTTTGTAAGTTAATTATTTACTCTCAGTTTAACATAGCCAAATGATTAGTTGAAGGAATTGGAAAACAAATAAATCAGTTTGGGATTTATTCATTCATAAATAAATTCGTTTTTCTCATTTTTCAAATTCAGTGTGAATTAAAATCGATTCCAACATATTGACATTTTTACAAATTGTATGATTCTAAAACTTTATATGAATTTCATTCCATAAAAATGTGCAGTAACAATGTGTATTCAATTCAATTTTCAATTCATTCAGCAACAGCAACAATTAATAATTTATAGATAAATTATTCTTTAGAAAACTAATCAGGAAGGAAAATATGCACCTAAGCATCCAGGGTGCCTGTGTTGTGCTCTCTTCCAACCATCGTGGAGAAAATTATGAAAAAATAATAATATATCTTCTTAATATAATATAAATACAATAGAAATACTATAGAACAGGAAGAGACATGAAAAAATAATATGTGAGAAGAAATGAGAGAAGAAGGAGAGCGATTGTAAGGTTAATTGAAATTGTCTGAATTCTCTAATTTATCTGAAATGAATTTTTCATCTCTTTTTTGAAATGCGGTAGTTTGTTAAATATCTTGATACTTGTTGGCAATAGGTTGAATAACTCAGGACTGTAGTAGAAACGACTCTTTGAGTGTTGTAAGGTTAATTGAAATTGTCTGAAATCTTTGATTTATCTGAAATAAATTTCTTTATCTCTTGGTTGAATAACTTATGACTGTTTGAGTATGACTCTTTTTGTACATGGGTATTGTGATTGAAGCATTCATGACAGATTTCATTTTCTTCATGTATAAATATCATGTTTTATTTCTGAATAATTTGCTTGTGGCATGCTGGATTCGGTGTGCTCTCACATATCATAGTGCTTTGGCCTCGGTTCGAGCGCATGTGCCGAATGCAAACCCTAACGCTTCTCTTTGTCCACAGTCGGTGAACCCGCAAGACCCAAACAAGCCCAAAATAGTGGTACGTAACATTCTGGCTGACCATTTCTTCTTCATTGATTTGTATTAATGTGTTCCCCATAGAAATCATATTATAGATACCAACTCTAGAATGCTAGTTCCGTCAAGTTTCATAGCGAAAAGCATGGCGCATATTATATGCAGAAGTTTCACGATTTGTGCATGTATTGTCAGCTATTTTAAATGAAACACTTACAGGCTACAAGGCCTTTGTCTACCTAATGCAAAGGTTAGTGTGACAAAGTGAATAAACTATCCAATCAAGAAAGACATTAATTTTTTGAGTCATTTCCAACTGTCGGCGCTTATTATTAATATTAAAATGTGAATGAGAACATGGATATTGAATGCATCATGTTCCCTCTATATAGATCATACAACAGCGCTTCGCCTTCTTGATGAAAGAAATTTGAATATTTGCATTGTTAAATAATTAAAGTAGTTTCTTCTGATAAGTGCTGAAATTTTTATTGTTTTCCTCCGGAGATAAAGGGGAGATTTAATTATTTTTGATGAGTAACGACTCAAACTGACACTGCGCCTGCGCATTGACGACCAGCCTTGACTTTTTTATGCATCATTCAGTAATTGCTTATGCATTCTAATATCAGTACCTATAAATGCTATATAATATGATTTTTATGGTTCTCCCATTGTGTCTTGATAACCATTGCTTGCTCTCCATTTATCATCATTACATGTCATCGTATTTGTATTTGTTTGAATAAATAATAATGATTATATTACTAATCATCATTGTTATCATTTAATTGATAGTAAAATATAGGTACATAAATACATGTAAATTCTGAGTCAATTTGCGGTATTGTGCAAATGTTGAATTAGTAATTCCTCTTAATTCATTCACTATTGAAATGTCAATTATTTATTCTACAATAATAAAACGGCCTATATTTTCTGATGGCATAAAACCTAAGTCAATGACGAATACATGGATTTTCCGAAAATACTAAGCAAATATCATTGAGATAGTAGTTGATGCCACACTGCATATAGCTTTTGACTAACTTTTGGAACAGTTCGAGTAAACTAAGATTTATTATTTTCATTATTATGAACCCAAGTATCAGTATGTTGACTTACTTACTTTTGCCATTTTTTATCCTTCAAGGCTGAGGAATAGTTTGAGAACCTATAGTAATAATAATCCACTATATGAACTACTCCACTTTGAGACAACATGAACTTCTACAGTAAATAGTTTGAGAAAAAAAAATGAAGACACGCCTTATGCTATATATAACATTATGCACGTTTTGGCATACAATAATCTTTCTATGAAAGCTACTGATTTAAATCACACACCGGATTACCCACCACTGTATTACATTTCATTGATTCTTACACTTATACACTAGAGTGTGTATAATCACAGTATAGACCCTCACGGAAAACAGTAGTTTCAGTCAGCACTTTTCGTGTCCTGAAAATCGCTGTACGCATGTCCACTCGTGGTCAGTATGCGCAGTAGCTCAGATACAAGGAAGGTGTTCTGTTTACACTTCTTTGATTTAAGGCGGTTTTATGCATGCCGCTTTTTCATCAATCTGTAGTTTCACAATCATAAACGATTTCACTAATGAGTTGAAACTTGGAATATCCCTTCAATCATTTATGCACCCAAATCGATTTTTATCTTTTATCAACTATTCGCTTAATGATGACCAACTTTTATCTGTGAACGACAAATACAAGTGACTTGCGCAGGTGCGATTCTGTCAGAAGTCAGACAAACAATATCTTCTTATTTTGCCAAAATGTGGTGAAAATTCAGAAAATTCTAGTTGCCTATTCGAATAAGATTTCAAGAACAATATGAATAATATTTTAAAAATGTGAGCAGTGGAAGTTAGAACACAATTATTTTCATCAGGCTAAATATGCTGAGGACTATGTTCTGATCATGAAGAAGAGTTTAAAGTTAAGAAAAGGTAGTGCATAAATGCATCAAAGTCCTTAAATAAACGTAATTTTAATGACAATTAATGAAAGCAACATATTAATTGAAAAGCGGTGTGCATTAAAGTCCACCTTTATAATATGCCTTTGTGATTCATTCTATGTAGGTGGGTATTTTTTTGAAAATTGTTTGCAGCAACATACAGAACTGGTTGATGATGGAATTTATTCACATTTCAGAACATATGAAAATTCTGCTGAAGATACATATTGAAAATTGGATATGCCTCAACAGGATTTCTTGTCATACCTAGGAGTATGTGAAAATATATTTGCTTCGAATGTCCCTTTTTTTTCAGTCCAGTCCAATATTGCTATCATATTGAAGGAAGGAATAACAAGTGCAGCTCTGCTGATACATCCACTTGATTATCTCAACAGTTTGTTTAACTCTATACTGTGGTATAATCTTGGCTTGGAGTGTCTAGCCCACTTGTAATCTCAGATCAAAATGATACTGAAAGAACATGAGAATATCCCGGGATCCCACCCGGTCTCTCAAGTTCGATAGTCAAATACATGGTTGTGCCAAAACAGTTCAAACCCCTGAAAATATCGAACATGTTCGACAAGAAATATCAAGAGGAATATAAGTTGGTCCATTCCAAATGAAAATAAATATGAGATTTGCATATAAACATGTATAAGTGACAATCTTGCCGACAATGTGCGCATGATCATCACTGCCTTAAGCACACTGGTGGTAACGAATTTCAGCTATTTCTCAGACTTGCATTAGCCTTCTAGCTCTTTGAGTTCTGTGTGCCGAACCCTGTACTTCAATCATTGAGGTATGAGCCACAAAAATTGAGTAACTGGAGCCATAAAGAGTAATTTTTCAACATGTATGACCTTCTTCATGTTCAGAAAAAAGACAAGATATGATTTCTAGTGTGTTTTCACTGATTCCTCTCACAGAAAAGCGGCAAATGGAACGCGATGCACGTCCGCGTCGCCTGGGAGATCTACCACCACCAGCAGAAAAGCGGCGAGGCGAAGGGCAGTCTGGCGGCGGCCAAACCGGCGGCCGACCTTCTCAGGCCGCCCACGCACCTCTTCTCGCCCAACGTGCACGCGCAACGGCCGCCCAGCCACGACATGTCGCCATTCCCGCTGTCGCTGGCCGCCCATCGACCGCCTCACACCGCCGCCTACGAGCAGCCGCACCACGCCGGGTCGCTGTTCAGCGCGCCGCCGGGGCATCTAGGTAAGACAGAAGATGTTTGATGTTTCGATTCTTGATAACAGTTATATCAAAACTAGTTTCTCAATGTGCTTTCACTTCAAATTTACAAATATTACAAACAGCATAATAATTTTTAGGTAATACTTCTGAATTTTGCTAACTCTGCCTTTTGTAACTAAATCTTTTTGCTTCAACTCATTTCCCAACTCTCTATTTTTTTTTTCTATTTGTTTCCTGATTTCCTCACTCTCTTCCACTCGTAAACCTTAGATTTTTGAATATTCCTGCTCTGAAATTTTGATTTTCAAGTCTTTTTCTTTCAAAATATGTTCAAAATGAATTTCATTATCTGCAAGTTTTTCGTTTCTTGTTGGTTCTGAATTGGAATAAGGTTCTTTTCGATACTCACTCAGTTTATAAATTGTGGGTTCGGCTCTTTCTCTTACGATCATATTCTTCAACATCAAATCTTCCGTTCTGAAGTGTACCTAATAAAAATGCGTTGAAAAATGTTTTATATGCTATATACCAAGAAATTTTGATACCTCGCAAATTTTGTGGTCTGAACCTATATTCCATGCCGGCCGCATCATATTCTGTTTCCATTTTTGTAGAATTACGTTATCCGATAGAAATTCGAATAGAGTGAATTGATTTCCCGTGTTCTCACAGTTGAAAACTCCACAAACCTGCATCTTTCTCCTGATTCTCTCAATTTGTCAAACCTTTGAAATTTATGTCATGTACTTCCGAGTACAGTCAGTTCCCCCTTTTTCCATCAATTTATTTGTGGTTATGTCTGATTGTCAGTGCTTGTCATAGTGTCCGTACTCTGATGTACAAAAAACGTCAAAACAGCAGTGTCAAGTACATTTAGGAACTCTAGGTAAGACAGAAGATTAATGTTTGATGTTTCAATTCTTGATAACAGTTATATCAAAACTAGTTCCTCAATAGAACTGGAAAGCTCTGGAATTCATTGCCTAAGAAATAATTTACAAGAACTTATAATCCCAGGAAGTTGAAAAAAAAATTCCACACATACCTCCTCTCCCTATACTCCCTAGGTACGATGTTCTTCGAACATCATAGGGATTCCGTCATTCCTTGCTCGCACAAGACTTTCGAAGACTTTTGAGGGTTGCTCGTAAGGGGGCAACCGAATGACGGATAGAACAAATTTTAGAACAAAACAAAAATTCCCTTTCGTCCGCACGAAGCGATAAAAAGTACAGATAGGGGCATATGAAAACTGTTTCAAATATTGATTTCCGGTAGTGGTTTTGAGTGTTTCAAAACTCATCGTCGGATTGGAAGCCAATTCTATGTAAATAATCACGAGGGATTGAGATTAAAGTAAAAATTATTTGACAGAGAGGAACTTGTTGCCAGGCAATAGACATGAGGGCCCAAAGGACTCAAGTGGCTATTGCCAAGGTAATAAGTTTGAGAAAAGATCTGTGGAGCTATCGTGAGGTATTCGATTAAATATTATTTTATATCATTTACATGACTTTTTGCCCAATAACGGAATATATGCCAAATCAAGAAAAACAGAATACCTAACCCAAACTATTATTGCGGCACTAATTTATGTAGAACGTTCGTACTAAAGTGATATTTGGCATCCAAATTTCAAAAGCAATAAAAGAATTAATGACGTACCGCCCATTATGAACCCTTGTTCTGTTAACGGCAACCCAACCGATTTGGAACTGAGTTAAATTAATAATAATAAAAAAACAAATATTTCTTGAAATGTTTTATTGAATATGTAAAAGGAATATGTTGTATGATAGTTCATTTACCAATTTGATGTATACAGGGTGTTGCAAAATTCGACCAACAACGCTTGACAGGTGATAGCCCTCGTGATATCATCATCACTGAGATTGAGACCCTCGTGATATCATCGTCACTGAGATAGGGACATACGGTGTTCAAGTGTTCAGTTCTCGAGATACAGGGCGTTAAAGTTCAGAAATAAAAATAGTCGTTTCACAATATCTCAAGAATACTTGAATATAATGCATTCAACTTCGGTATATGGTTTCATCTTTGAATGGGTAATTTTTTGACCAGGAAGCCATTCTGGACATTTTATCCAGTGGTGCCCTACAGGGGGTTGTGGCAACTTTTCCTCCCATATTTTCTACGCCACTGAATAAATTTCGATTATTTCCAATTCCTCGAATTCATTGTTCAATTTTGTTCAGAAAATGCATCACCTTCAACTGAGCTGAAATGAACAGTTTTCGAGATATTCGACTCAAAATAGAAGATTGCATAGTAATATTTCATCATTTTCAGTAGTAGAGAATTGCAAGAATATTTTTCTGGTGTTGAGTAGATTAGATACTATTCAGATCTCATTCTATAGCTGAACAGAAATTCCACGCATAAAGAGAAAACAAAATTTTTTGTAATTTTCTACTACTGAGGAAGGTGAAAAATTACTATGCAAACTTCTATTTTGGGTCAAATATCTCGATAACTGTTCATTTCAGCTCAGTTGAAGGTGATGCATTGTTTCAACATAATTGAACAATCAATTCTAGAAATTGGAAATAATTGAAATATCATTAGTAGCGTAAATATGGGAGGAAAAGTTATCACAACCCTCTGTAGCGCACCACCGGATAAAATTCTCGGAATGTCTTTCTGGTCAAAAAATTAACCATTGAAAGATGAAACCATATATCGGATTTGAATGCATTATATTCAATTTTTCTTGAGATATTGCGAAAAAACTATTTTAATTTCTCAACTTCAACGCCCTGTATCTCGAGAACTGAACACTTGAAGACCGTATGTCCCTATCTCAGTGATGATGATATCACGAGGGCTATCACCTGTCAAACGTTGTCGGTCGAATTTCGCAACACCCTGTATATTGTGTTATATGGTATATTGTATATTCTACATTATTTAACAATAAAAAGTTTTGTAACTTGAAAAAATATATACAGGGTGATCGACGGCGGATGGCCTATTAGAAGTATCTGGAGAACGAAAAGACAGAACATTCTGAAAATTGGGATCAGAAACAACTATGAACTTCGTTATTTTGAATAGAGAACCCTGTATTTTATTGCATTTTCAGATTCTTCCTGAAGAGCTGATTTCATCGATGCATCACACTTGGGGTCTAGCAGGAATGATTACAGCGATATAGGGTGTATCAAAACGGCTTTTATGTCCCTATCTTAACTTTCGATTCACTCTACTGACATTTAATTGGAACAGATACAGGGTGATCAGAATTTTGAATCTTGAAGCACCCTGTATTTTTCCAATTAAATTCCAGTAGATAGTGAATCAAAAATTGAGATAGGGACATGTAAGCCGTTTTGATCGATAATGAATAGTTTCAACACAAAAAAATCCTAAAATTGAAAAATCTCGATTTTGAACACCCTATATCTCTGTAATCATTCCTGCTAGACCCCAAATGTGATGCATTGATGGAATCAGCTCTTCAGGAAGAATCTGAAAATGCAATAAAATACAGGGTGCTCCATTTGAAATAACGAAGTTGCTTCCTTATTTTCAGAATGTTCTGTCTTTTCGCTCTCCAGATACTTCTAATAGGCCATCCACCGTGGATCACCCTGTATATATGTCGGTCCTATTCTGACTCACCCTGTATAATTCACATTCACCGAACAAATCCCCGACATTCCAGGTAAATCGCCGTTCACCGCCCCCACCACCACTCTATCGCCGTTCACGCGATACGGCGCCGGGCCGCTGGGCCCCTCGGGCGGCTCCCCCTTCTCGATGTCACCGTACGCGGCGGCGGTGGCGGCGGCGTCGCGCGACCCCCACCTCGGCCTCGCCCCCCTCCACCATCACGACCCGTGGCGGTCGCTGCAGCGCTCCGTCCCCGCCTATCCGCCGCCCGCGGGTAATCCACTGCCGCCGACGCTGCCCGGCCCCGCCCCCTGGGCCATCAAGCCCGACCCGATGCTGGAGCAGCGCGAGCGCGAGGCTAGGGAGAGGGAGGAGCGAGAGAGAGAGCGGGCGAGGCGGGAGAGGGAGGAGCGGGAGAGGCGGGAGCGGGAGGAGAAGCAGAGGCGGTTGGAACAACAGGTTGGTGATGTTCATTTATTTATTTATTAAACAATTGACTTCCAGGCAGAATAGGACATGGTTTGAGGATGAACATAATTATCCATATACCGAATATACCGAATCAACAACTAAAATATGGCGAACAAAGAATTATGTTTGTAAAAAAAACATGGTAGTAAAATAAAATGAGTAATTTTATCCAGTTCGCTCAGTAATAATCAGTTTTTCACTTTATTTCTGCAGTTTTTTATATTGGCAGGCAGTTCTTTGAACTCAGTTGAAGTCTGAATGAGTGAATCTTTTTTGTCCGAGTACAGAGCTAGCGGCGTCAAGGTGAAACAAGTTATATTTGTCACGTTTGGTATTCACATCGCAGATTAGAGCAGATTCTAGTCACGTGGTCACAGATAGATCGGAGCAATCGGCAATATACGACCGAAGTGGACATTTTGTTGACAGTGTGACGGTAACCTAACCTAACCTCATTCATTTATTCCATTTATTTCCATTTCAATATGAATATACCAGAAACTATAAAAATATATAAAAAATAATTTTGAATTTATCATCTAAACACATTGATCAAATGTGTTCACTTACTATTATTTGTGACATTTTCTTCATAATTCTCATCTGACACCATAAAGGTGTGTGTTTTGTCTTGCCCATAATTAAAAAGTTGTATTTCTTACATTATGAAAACGTTATTTTGAAAATACGAATACGAGCACAACGGCCAGTCATACATAAACATTTGAACATTAACCTCACAAATTCAGATCAATCGCTTTGATCGGTCAAAATTCTCCGAGCATTAAGATCTTTGTCAGATCGCTCCGATTTTATTTACCGAACGGATGAGATCTACTTCCCCTACATCTTGATGTCATCAACGAACGATTCAGATTCATCGGAGCAGTCTGATAAAAATACCAAACGCCATATCACCATATTTTGGTCCAGATAATCCGCTCTTAGCCTATGTCCCAATATTTATGACTCACACTGTATAATGTTGATATTTTATTGAAATTATTTTTTGGACAAGGTCCCCAAACATCAATTAAATAGTTGATAGGACTCAGTATAATTGAGAGTAGAGAATCATGTTTGCAATTTCAATGTCAAGTTTAGGACATATTCACAGTGCACCAATAATTGGAGATATTTTATTTGTCAAAACATCAATATGTTTGTCCCACTTCAACTTGTCATCAAACCAAATACCAAGATATTTCATCTGATCAGTTTGAAGAGTTAATTTTTCATTAATAATAAAAATAAAGTTTATTCAAAATATTTACATAATATAAATCAAAAGTGTACATATTGGTATTGAATGAATAAAGGAAACCTTACAAAGTATAACTGCTGAGCTAAATGAAATAAAATTCATGATTATTAAATCAATTGATTTGGTCGACAGAAGCAATTGATGAATTATTAAAATGTTTTTCCTTCAAATCATTCAATCATCGACGCCCTAAAAGTGGTTCGATTTCCACTATTAACTGTAGGTCCCGCTCTTCCTAACCCCGCACAAGTTTCGACTCCTGGGGAGTTGGTTCCCAACTTCGAAGTAGAGATGTAGTAAGTTTACAAATTTTGTACAAGTACAATTCATTGCTGTATTAAATTTTGTAGTGGCATCTTTAGATAGAGATATTTAATATTAATCAGACAAGCAAATAAACTCCTTGAAGCTAATATCCAGTTTTTGATTTTAGTTTTGAAGTAATATAATGAATTGACTTTTTTAACCCTTCCGCCCATATTGTATTCAATTGAATAAATTGTATTCATAATTTTTTTCTGAGTAGTAACAAGTTTATTATCCTTACAATTCACGATGTACCTATCTAATCTTATATTCATAATATACGATATCGACCATGTGCTGTCATCTAAAAACCAATTGGTCAATCAATTGTCAAATTCATTCCTGAGGTTGTATGGTAAAACAGAGTTCACCCTGAAGAGCTCTTATTTATATCGCCTGGTATCTATCCTAGAGGCTCCGTGGGAGATAGCTGTTCTGTCCAGACACAGCTACTATACATGTTTAAACAGGGTGGCCCATCGAAAACTTGACATCGGGGTTTTGGGTGATGATACCGCAGATGTGGAAAAACCCTCGGACAGGTCGATTTTAGTTTAGGGGGGGGACATTTTTTTCTCCTACATGCATTACCGTCACTGCAACACTCGAGCTGTGAGGTGAACAACCCCTAAAATTTGAATAGGGAATAATGGTGGAGTGGCACATCTTTTGAAAGCCCGTCAATTTTGCTAAGTCGTCGAGTGTTAATATTAACATGGTCACTATTTGAAGTGGATTAATTCACAAAATCTGTTATAATTTTGTTTAGCAACAAGAACAGCGTGAACGAGAAAGAAAGGAAAGGGAGAAACGCGAGATGGAAAGAAGAGAAATGGAGAGGCAGAGAGAACGTGAAAGGGAGAGACTTCTTCAAGAACAGAGACTGGCAGAGTCGGCCAAAATGCAACAGCCGATAATTAGGGACAGATCGCCACTTCGAAACGGCGATATGTCGGAAATTAGGGTCAAAGAGGAACCTAGAGTCAAAGAGGAGGATATTATGGCTCGATCGGATCCTAGGTATGCTACAATGTATGTACATTTTTTTATTTATTTATTTTTATGGAATGAGGCCTTTTCATTAACCTAGTCAGGATTATCAACCTGATCCACTGTGGTCTCATGACGAATCACTAAAGTTACTCAGCTGGTTACTAGATTCAACTTGTGCTATAAACAAGAGGTACATTATAAAGCATCATTATTTTGTTGTTAATCTCTTTTTCCCCATATTAATAGTCATTCATCATAATCAATATGCAATAATAAATATAATGCACAAACAGGTTGCAGCACTGAGACAATGATATCTAGTGTTTTTACTATTATTTTGATGGTGAGACAATGATCTGGTTTGGTTTTTTCTTGAAATGAACATTGTACTATTGTTCAATGCTGCCAAAACCGAAATTTACGATCACAAGTAGATGAACATGGAGGTTAGGGATTGTTTCAAGCCGAGTAGGTTAGTGAAAAGGCTAATATATTCAAGTATTGGAAACGAATATTATCAGATATATTATGAACATGAAAAAATTAATATATACATATATATAATATATAAAATACATTGAGTATTTGCATCATCTATGTGATGCAGATATTATTTCCTTCTTGGTATGTTCAACAGAAAACAACTACTTTCCTGGCTATTTGCCACGTCGAACATTGAATCATATTTATTGAACATCCAATGCTAGAGCTCCCACTAGTCCAGCATAACATTAGTTCTGAATTTACTTAGACTGCCACAAAATAGGTCACAGTGATTTTGAAGAACAACATTGTTCCTTAGAAACCTTGCAATAGGGTTATTGTTACCAATATATTGAGTATAAGGTCAAGGCTGATAATATACTGAAGGTACCATGAAAACTGCAGATGCTAATTGGTTGAACAGGCCAAGAAACGTCAGAGTACTCAGATTTTTTTTGTAAATTCATGAATATTTTCACTGTTGCAATACCAGTCAGACGGACTCACCAAGCCCAGTCAGTACATCCATTTGTTGTCTACCTTGAGATATGTCAAACAACACCAATACCAACACTCATTCGTCTGTAAAACGGCAAAGCTTTATAATTCTTTGCCAATGGAAGTAATCCCTAGAATCTATATCCTTCAAAAGATGAAAAAAAAAGCCAATACCTACCTCCTTTGCCTATCCTTCAGAGGTAAGCTCATGTTCTTCGATTTCAGTTCTCCCGATCCTCTAAAAAATTATTGAAAAAATGATGAATAAGCATATTCTTGATTTTCGTGAAACTAATGGTTTACTATACAGTGGTCAATATGGATTTCGCCGATCGAAAGACACTGAGGTAGCAGTTATGGAAAAATATTTGATTGGTTAAAAAATTATCTGGAAAATAGGAAGCAGTATGTTAAAGTCAATAATATGTGTAGCTCCATAAGGGAGATCAAATGTGGTGTACCCCAAGGTTCTGTTTTAGGTTCAATTTTATTCTTAATTTACATCAATTCAATATCATCTTTGAAACTAAAAGGAGATCTAAAGTTATTTGCAGATGATACTACAATAATCTATTTCTCTAAAGAATTCAATGATATAGTTGATGATATAAAAATTGACTTGAAAATGATATCATCTTGGCTACAAATTCATAAGCTCTCTTAACTATGACAAATCTACGTATATGTATATTTCAAAAAGAAAAACTGATATATCGAAAACAACAATATTTTTCGACCAGAAAGCTATTATATATTCAGATGTTACAAAATCATTAGGTCTTTATATTGATATTATCGTGGACTAAACATATAGATCACATGAGAAAAAAGCTAAATCCAATCACTGGCATTTTATTCAAAATTCGAAATTTCATTCCTCTTAGATATTTGAAGAATATATATTTCTGTCTGATTTACTCAAAATTGCAATATTTAATTTCAATTAGGGGAAGCAGAAGTATATCACATTTGAAACTATTAATGAAATTACAAAATAAAACAATTAAGTGCATTTACAATTGGAACCAACTATTAATCTTTACAAACCAAAAAATCTGTTGAATTCATCATCTTTATATAAAATGAAAATTTGTTCTTTTATTCATTTTGTGAGAAAAAAAATTATCCACCTTGAACTTCACTGAAGTAAATACAATTCATACTCATGAAACGAGACAGTTGAATTAATTAATAACAAACCAATATGACTCCATTATTGGCAAACAATCAGTATTCTACAACGGAATCATTTTATATAATTCATTACCTTGTGATTTGAAACAAATTGATGATAAAACAAGATTCAAAGTCAATATGAAAAAATATACAGGGTGTCAATTTGAAAACTTCCCACCCTTAATATCTCCCTCCAAGTCGATAATATGGAAAAACGAAAAGACAGGTCGATTTTATTTTCGAGGGGGACATGGTTCTAAAATATTTTCAGCCCCGCGGCGTTGCCGCTTCTAACGAAAAGAAGCAACAACTTTGTTATTTCAAATGGAACACCCTGTATTTTATTGCATTTTTAGATTCTCCCTGAAAAGCTGATTTCATCAATGTATCACACTTGGGGTCTAGCAGGAATGATTACAGAGATATAGGGTGTTCAAAATCGAGATTTTACAACTTTAGGATTTTTTTGAGTCGAAACTATTCATTATTGGTCAAAACGGCTTTCATGTCCCTATCTCAACTTTTGATTTACTATCTACTGACATTTATTTGAAACAAATACAGGGTGATCAAAAGTCTGAATCTTGAACCACCCTGTTGCTTCTTTTCGTTAGAAGCGGCAACGCCGCGGGGCTGAAAATATTTTAGAACCATGTCCCCCTCGAAAATAAAATCGACCTGTCTTTTCGTTTTTCCATATTATCGACTTGGAGGGAGATATTGAGGGTGGAAAGTTTTCAAATTGACACCCTGTATACTCATGACACTATAAACAGAGCAATTTATTCCCATTTGAATACTTGGAATGATTTTATTTTAATTATTTTGTTATACAGTGTGACCCACTTTTAATGGAAACACCCCTGTATCTTACGTAATCGTTGGGTAGGAATCCTGAGATTTGCTGGAGCGAGCAACATACAAAAAATGCACTGTATTACCAAGTGGGGTCATCTTCAGTGATATACACTGCTCCAACAGTCATGAAACCACCCCAATTTCCTGAAAATGATATTAGGAGTCAACATAGGTCGAAAATTACTTCAAGTTCGGAATCAGGACGCCCAATTCAGTAACTATTGATATATTTTCTGGAAAATTTTCAGCTCTGAAAAATTAAATTTTGTCGCACTTTTTACGGACGCACCCCCGTATCTTACGTAATTGACTTTATCTATGGACTTTCCCTTCCTTCTGCAAATTACAGAATCCTACCTCAATAATTACGTGAGATACGGGGGTGCTTCCATAAGAAGTGAGACAATTCAATTTTTCTGAACTGAAAATTTTCTAGGAAAACTATGAATAGTTAGTAAATTGGGCGTCCTGATTCCGAATCCGAAGTGATTTTCAACCTATTTTGACTCCTAATATCATTTTCCGGAAATTGGGGTGGTTCCATGGCTGTTGGCAAGCAGTGTATATCACTGAAGATGACTCCACTTGGTCACAGAGTGCATTTTTGGTATATCTCTCGCTCCAGCAAAGTTCAGGATCCTTCCCTCACCATTACGTAAGATACAGGGGTGTTTCCATTAGAAGTGGGTCACACTGTATATTCCTTCTCATAAGTTTTCAAAAACCTCGCCACTATCAGATTTTTAATAAGAGTATTTTGTCAATTCCAGATACCACAATCCATTCTTGCGTCACCATAGTGCACTACCCCCACCGGGACACCCTTCGATGCTCGATCGCTCGAGGATGATGCCCCATGCTTTGCAACCACCACACCCTTACCATACTGGTCCGACGGGACACTGGGTGGCACCACCTACGGATCCGTTCTATGGCAGGTATGGCTATAAAAAATTAATTTTCCAGTTTTGATCAATCTCTACATGTTCAACATTTGCTGAATATAGTAATTTGGGAAGTGCCATGGAAATAATGATATTTAGTTGATGTTAAAAGAAGAAACTATGATACTTTCTATTGGCTGATGCTGGGCTTATATGAGCCCAAAACACGTTCCTTCATGATTGATCTTTGATCACTCTAATAAATGTTGTGGAGATGGCTTTGGGTTTTCATCTATAAACTACACCACTCCACTTTGAGTTACCATGGACTTCTTCCAAAGATTAATGTAAAAAACTTCACAAATGATAAGATTTCCACAAAATTCTTAACAGGACATGCTTCCCTGCTTCTTCAAGTGAAATACTCGTACTCGGTTTATTGTGGAAATTATATCGTTTGTGAAGTTTTTTACATTTATTATGAATTTCCATCTAGTAACGGCCGAGTAAATCCAAAAATATTTAGTTAAAACTTCACATTATTATAAAATTTCCACGAAACTCTTAGAAACACGAAAAAATTCCGCTAACACATTGGCTTCTTCAAGGGAAATACTCATACAACCAGCCAAATTAACTTTGACTTGCCTGTATGGCTAACAAATGCTTCATTTAGTTAAGTAGGCATAATAATCTATATTAAAATTCTGTATTGAAAATGTATTCAAAAGGGGTAAATGTAACTAAGATAATACATTCAATAGCAGTAAATTGTTGGAGCCTAGTTGGTCGTTGAGTAAATTGTTAGTACTTTGATGATGAACAAAACCTGAACAATTTACCGCACTCGAATTAATTTTCTTGGTACGTACAAAATATTTGAATTAATTCCTTTCAAGACAATCGGTCACACTTTGTTTTGTAGCAGATATTGTGCAAACCTTCTGAAATTAAAGGTCTGTTCGTTTGTATTGCTAAACTTGCTAAAGTTGATTTTTTGCCCATAGTTGTCTCTGTTCATGGCATGATGTAAACAGAGAAAGTCATAGAAAAAAATCAAGTTCAGCAAGTTTAGCAAGCACAAACGAACAGGCCTTAAGAATAGTTATCCTTCTCACAAGTAATCAATCTCTCAGGTTCATACAGTAAACTGGCAACTCCATGTTAGGTTAGTTTATTGTAGAGTTCCTATTACAAAAAACGTCAAAACAGCAGTGTGAAGTACATTTAGGAACTCTAGTTCTTTGTACCATTATTTCACAGAAGCAGCTTCTTCGTTTTTGAGAACATTGTGTTTGATGTGAAGTTGAACAAAATGTTTTTCATACTAATACTTCCCTTAAAAGTACGGGATTCAAAGTGAGTTTTGTATTATTGATAAAATCTTGAAATTTCTCACAAAAATATATTGAGAAACATTATTTGACAATATTGACAATATAATCTGACAGTAAATCAGAGCGAGGGGGTAATCACGTGGGAAGTTTGGTGTACAAGATAGAATAAGTTCGAGGAAGTTCAGTTAGTTTTGTCCCATGGAAAGTTCGATGTACAAGTCTTTGGGCCATGATTACCCCCAGAATCACATATACATGAATTTCATTATTTAAAATACTTCATCAAACCAGATACCAACCAACAGGAATAATTCAAAGATATTAAGTCAGAATACTCAAAACTGTCAGATCCCATTCTATGAAAAGGTATTTTCTTTTATTATTTTCGTATCCATTATCATCTGTGGTAAGGAACAGTACGGCAAAAAATAGAACAAGAAAACTTGAACCTTAAAATGTAAATTTAATCACTGAAATATATTTAACTGAATTGAATGAGCTATTAAGTTGTCTACACAGTGGCGACAATGAAAGGCAGACAGATTCGGAGTCAGTGAGCAAACAATATTTCGCGTGTTTGATGCGTTATACCATCTCCTATTAAGGGTGCGTTTCTCATTCCAACATTTTGTCATGCGCGTGAATCGAAGAATCCATCTAACTGTTGCAAAATTCCGATGGAATGGAAATTCATAAAACTGTTGTTAATAAAATACGCACTTTCAAATCACAGGGTGAGTCATGAGGAACTGTACATACTCCTTCCCTTGAGGGGAATACCTAATGACCATCAGAAAGTGTCTTCTTCTTTACCAATAGGGTGAATTATGAAATTTGACAGAAACATTTTTTGGTCATAACTTCTCATCGCTTTTTCGATTTGTCTGATTTTTCCATGGAATATTCCTCTACTAAACCCTAATCGATTGACCTATTCAGAATCGGGAAAATCCAGGACCGTTTTAGAAGAATTTCGATAGCTTAGTTTTTATCAAAAAGTTCATCCTGTATATGGTGTTTGTAAACTATGACAGGGAATTTCCAAAGCACACAAACAAGCATCAAAAATTAAATATTCAAAATTCTATTCACACTTTCACAAAATTTTTCGAAAAATGATAAATTTTAAGCAAAAACGAAAGTTTGACAACGAATTTTATTCATTTGAAAATAATTACTTCGCAACGCCTAAATTTCACAGATGAAAGTGAGACTCACATTTTCAATGCTTTAGCCCAATGGAAATCAACATGGTCTTTCATTTCCAGGCCTGGATTTCGTCATTTCATTTTTTGTGGAGGATAATAATCACCCTATCTGTTTAGATGTTAATGGTCATCGAATCAGATAATTGAAGATAGTCGAACAGAAAATGAAGGTTTACTCACAATTATTTTGCAAAAGCTATACTGACAAAGGCGGATAATAATTCTAGTACGGAAAAGAAGTGACCAAATTAACTGAATAAAACAAATCGAATAGATGAAACTGTGAATTGAAATCATAAAATTATTTATAGCGATTGCCATCAACGTTTTCACATATACCTCATCCACAGATTCAAAAACGATCTACAGGGTGATTATTATAAATCGAATTACTAAATCTGGGCTTGAAAATGAAATAATATGTTGATTTCCTTTGAGCTGAAAATTTATGGGTTGCGAAGTATAAATTTCCAAATAAATAAATGTTTTGCCAAACTGCAGTGAAAGTGTGAGGAAAATTTGAAATTTTTCAAGAAAGGTCCTGGATTTTCCCGATTCTGAATAAGTCAGTCGATCAGAGAGTAGTAGCGGAATATTCCATGAAAAAATGAGACGAATCAAGAAGCTGTTGGAAAGCTATGACCAAAAGATGTTTTTGCTAAATCTCACAATTCACCCTATATATTGAAAAAGAAGGGCAGAAGACACTTTCTGATGGATATTCGGTATTCCCCTCAGGAGCCTCTAATCGTGGTAAGAGTATGTACAGTTTCTCATGACTCACCCTGTATATTTATTGAAAATATCGAGGAATTTTCGAATTTTGAGATTCTTGAGAGTTTTTAGAAGATGGAGTAATAAATGTCAATCAATAAAATCGTATCAGCCTCTTCTAATTCTGAAGATACACACAATGAGATCCGTTTTTCCATCAATGTGTTGTATAATCCATTTTTCCATCGTTCCAGCATGAATTCCATCAGAACAATTGCTGACGTCACGACAAAAAACCGCATCTATCAGTGCACACTTTCTTCAATGGAATGAAAAACACGCCCTAAACCTCTACTTGCCTACTAGCTAGCTTTTTTATGCACCCATCATATTGTCGTGAATCAGATTTCTGGCACACCCAGTACAACTTTTATGTTAGCTAATTCTTGATTTTATTTGAATAAACAATGTATAAAAAACATAACAATTGGTTGTTCGAAAAGAAGAGCACGGCTAGGCAGGAGTTGGGTAGTGAGAGTGCCCAAGTAAGTTTGGGGGTCGCAATGGGGACCATATGTCACGGAGTTACCCGGCGCCTCCACCACTTGTCGTGAATCGGGGTGGTTCACGACTGACTAGGTAGGGTAGAGAAACTAAGAGCAGATAGTTCAAAACGAATCTAACATTGTATTCAATCATTTACATAACGAATATAAAAAGAAACAAGTTACTTACTTGGTATTCAACCCTAATTACGCCTCCATTGCGACTCCCAAACTTATTTGGGCACTAAATTTACTAAATTACGCTCAGACCCCACTTTGAAATTCTTCAACAATATGAAAATTTTGTTCAACTCCTGTATAGATACTATCACATTTTATCATTCTCCTAAACTGGCGTTAACCCCCATGAACCCTTCTACCCCTATACTTAGTGGTCTTCCTAAGATCCATAAAGAAGGTGTTCCTATTCGTCATGTTGTCTCTTATTGCAATTCTCCAGCTTCTAATCTGGCTTCTTGGCTCGATTCCTTGATTAGATATCTCACAGATTTTAGTAATCCGTTGTCTTTGAAAAATTCTTTTGATCTAAGGAACAAAATTAAGAATGTTAATATTCCTCATAATTCAATGTTAGTGTCATTTGATGTGGTTAATCTGTACTTTGCTGGATATTGTTCTCAAACAAAATTTCTTTCAATTCAATAATTCTTACTTTTCACAAGTCTCTGGCCTAGCCATGGGAAGTAACTTATCTCCACTTTTAGCTGAGATCTTCTTACACAATTTAGAAAGTCAACTAAATAAGTTCAACTCGAATCAAAAAAATTGTTTCCGGTATAGGTATGTTGATGATGTTGTAGTTTCATTTGATGGTAATTTACAGGAAGTCAACCTCCTCCTAGATTTCTTGAATTCCTTACACCCTGCAATCAAGTTTACTATGGAAGTTGCAGTTAACAATTCACTTCCCTTTTCGGATTTGCTTATCAATATGGACAATGACCATTTCAACTTTTCGATTTACCGTAAACCTACACACACAGATTCAGTCATCCCTTTCTCTTGTTGCCATCCAAATCAACATAAATTTGCTGCGTTCAACTCTCTGTCTCATAGACGGTTCAACATTCCTATGAGCCCCGATGCTTTCAACAAGGAACTGAACATTATCAAACAGATTGGTCATAATAATGGTTTCTCTTCGCGTGTCATCAATAAAATATACAACAAACACCTCAACAAATCTATTAATAGAAGTTTACTACGTTTGGACAACCCTAGGAACCGTTTCGCCTCGATTCCTTTCTTGGGTAAGGTCTCCATTGATATTAAAAATATTTTTCATCGTTTTATGGATAATAGAAATATTTCTTTTTACACTATTGGTAATATCTCAAAAATCTTAGTTAATACAAAAGATAAAGTTTTTTGAATCATAAATCCGGTGTCTATAGCATTTCTTGTTCTGATTGCAATGCACAGTATGTTTGCCAAAGTGGTAGAAGGATTTGTAAAAACCATAGAAAATTCCAAAACCTCCCCTCCGTTTTTAGATGAGTATAACACTAAGAGTTCTTTTGCTAACCACATACTAAATTCTGAACATAATTTTGACATGAATCAAGATCTGAAAATTTTACATGCTTGTCAGAAAGGTACTTCATTGAATCTGTTAGGAATTTTTGAAATAAATTCTGCTTTGAACAATAATTCTATCACATCCCTTGATGAACGGGTAAACTATGATTGTATTAAATTTTTCAATTCTTTAGATTTTACCAAAAACCAGATTTAGTTTTATGTTGCTTGGCACCTGCTTTGGCCTCTTTCTATTTTCATTATTCATTTGCTTATATTTTAGATTTGCTACTTAACCATCTCGTTGGAATTTTCCTCCTTCTCCCCCTAAAATCTTCTCATTGTCATTTCTGTTTGAATTATTTTTTACTGTACTACTACTAGTTGAATTCACATTCATCCCAGTGTTTACTTTGATTCTGTGTCCTATGCCACTTGTCATAATATCATGTAATTAAGACTGACTTACGTCTAGGTTCATTTAATTAATTCCGTGTTTCTAACCTTAAGTTGGATTTAACAAGTTTTTGGCTTTTGGCCCCATCAATTCTGAATTGATTTATGGTATTTAAGTGCGCTCTCTCAAGGGTACGGGACCCCTTTTTCCTGTATTACAACAAAAAATGGTTATTAAATGCACCTTGCGTGCTCGTCAAGTTTCCCTTCTGGGACTTGACTTTTGATTTCACAAGTGCACGTTCTTAGGGCACGGGGCCCTTCATTTTAAATGAAAGCCCGTTTATTCCTTTAAAAACCTATTTATTATTATCATTCATGATATATTATATATATATATTATAGTATATTTTCACATGCCTCTGCTTATAGTAATTTCTAAAATACGGCTGAAGATGGACTTTTATAAGTCCGAAACATGTCCCGTTGAATGACTACATCATTATTAAAGTTGTGGAGATGACTTTGAGCTTTCCTTCCTCCTTTTTCAATTGTTATGTATTTTATACATTGGTGTGACAAAAATCTGATTCACGACAATATCAACAATCCATTACCTTTTCACCAGGTACAGCTACAACCCGCTGATGGACGCGATGCGCGCGCAAGAAGAGCGCTCGAACTACTACAGCGCCTACCCCCACCACCCGAGCCAGCTGCGACCGAAAGAGCCGTCGCTGATGCACCTGCGGCCCGGCCCCGGACCGCCGCCTCCGCCGACCGCCCACAAGATGGCCGCCGCCCAGCCGACGGACGTGCACAAGAAGGAGGAGCCGCGATAGCACGAGGAAGGCGACGGAGAAGAAGAGAACTGAACGGAGAGGACCGTCATGTGAGAATCGTTTCGATGTTTGAATCGTTTATTCCCAGCGTGGTTCGAATTTTTTCAATACGTGGGGTTACATTCATTTCGCATGTTCGGAGATATTGGCCCTTTTTTCCATTGGAGTAAAAGTTTTACTATAAAAATCAAATTCTACGCCCATCATCATGATTGTGATATGGGTTTAATTGTCCAATAAAGCTATTTCAACATACCAAAGGACTCCGCACCATTTACATTGAAATCTTGTCTACCGTGAAATTTCGTGAAAATCTAGGATTAGATAAATCAAATCATGCTGAACAAAAAAATGTTCTCTGGGTCAACGTCCGTTATGCCCGTTAAAAGAAGTTATAAGCTCTTGAAGACGAACGAGATAACCTTTACCAGAACCGAACATCCTGTGTATAATATGGTTTTGGCTAATACGATATTTTTGAGTTGTCAGATAATGGTCATTCATGTTAGAGTCCCTGTATGTATTTGTATGTAACTGACAAATATATACAGGGAATTATACATACAGGGATTCTAATTCATGTTAGTATATTACACACCGAGGTGGGAAGTGATTCATTCCTGGCGTGAGATTAGTTAGTTAACCGAGGTTAGCTATAATCTCGAGACAGGAATGAAACTTCCTACCGAGGTTTGTATACTATTTTATTTACAAATGAATCTCTGTTTCGTTCTGAACATATCTGAAATATTACATAATTGAGGGCGGGAAATAGAGGTGTGTAATATGACACTTCCCAACCTTCAACGACGTTAGTAATGACAACATTACATATATGGTTGTGAATAAAAGCGTATTACTTTGTTCAAATACATATAAGAATGTGAATGTGAAGGTGATAAAACTGAAAACCGACACTAGTCACTTCAGAACGTTATCCCGAATTCCAAGAGGTACGATCGGTCAGGGGTATAGCTTCTCTTCCTAGAACTTGTCGACGATTGATTGCGATTGCTTGCTGCTCAACATTTTGATCTCTATCGATCCGTGTCATATCATTAATATTACCTTCGCTGTCGCATATATAGCAACGTAACATATTCTGACAAGCCATCTGTTACATGTATTTGAACAAAGTAATTGGCTTTTGCTCAATGACTTTTACTGACATAACGGACCTTGGACATTTCTTGTTCAGCATGATTTGATTTATCCAATCCTAGATTTTCACAAAATTTCACCGTAGACAAGATTTCAATGTAAATGGTGCGGGGTCCTTTGAGTGAAATCTCAAAGTTATGAAGGAAAAACTATTAGAAAATTATAACTTCGGAGCCGTCTAGTGCCCAAACTAAGCAACTTTGTACTGAGGTATGTTTGATTGTATCAAATTGCGTTGGACTGAGGAATATGTAGTAGTTTTCTGTGAAGACCTATTAGGGGCACCATGTATATTACACTCATGTGAAATTCTAGTCGTCATGATCGTGAGTATGACTGTCATCCGTGTAGTAGTTTTGAAAAACAAATCATTAATGTCATTTAGTTTCAATTTTATATAATCTTCCAGAAGTGGATCTGATTTTTTGAATTTTCAATTCATTCATTCATATAAAGATTCTTCTATTCTAGCTCAAACCTGGCAATAACTTGAGGAGGAAAATTCCGATTCAGTTCTGGTTTTCAGTATTCATTATTTGTCCTAGTTTTCACTGAAATTGTCAAAAATCACCCAATAATTGTGCTAGGATTTTTCTGAATGATGTCTGAATATTTCATTTCACTGAGAATTGTTTACTGGAAAATTATAATGACAGTGAGTTTCAGCCAATGTAACATTTAAAAAGGATATTTTCAGTTGATATTGTCCACAACGCTATCTATCAAGATTCAACAATCAATACCAAATCAGGACATAATATACCTACTTGACATTATTGGATTTTGTTTTATGAACTCTTCATCAAGGGTGGAGATTTTAGATGCACAATAAATGAAAAAAGCTCATGTTTTCTAAATGAATATGCTCCAATGAATGTAGCCTCAGAATATTTGAATCCACATATTTTAAAATGCAATTATTTTACCTAGAAATTTTTGTTTTTCATGATCTCATAGCATAATCAAAAGGTGCATAGAAACACCCCAAAACGTATTTTTGCAATGGTTTTATAATATGGTTGTGTAGATTTGTGCATGTATCACGTAGTATAATAATAGGCCGTCATTTTCCCTAAATACTTGAAAAACATAATACAATGTGTTTACTGAGATTATTATTTATGAAAATATCACTATGAGTTAAAGACAACAATGATGCATTTATTTGATGATCATTTTTCTGGTGGATGAACTTTGGAATTCTATTATTCAATTAACTTGAATTCCGAGGGACAACAATTCAATTGTATTAGACTATTCAACAAACTGGAGAAGGCATTTTCGATTAATTTTTCAACAAGAAATTCTAAAGAAGCAATACTATTGCAACATAAGAAATGAAGTTCAATAACTGATTTTTCTTTTATCAGATGTTATCGAAGTTTCAATTGAAGTTATCAATCGGTCAATTTATTTTTGAAATTTTATTTCATCAATTTGGTATATCTATATAGAAAATGATTTCTACTTAATTTCTGTGGATTTTTGTTATTGATAAATCGATACTCTCTTAACAATTGCAAATTATTATTTTTCAATATCATAGTTACATGCCTATTAGAATTTCAAAACATATTGAAGCTAGTTATTTCTAATTTGTCATAATTATTCACTTGGACAGGCGACCTTGGACTTTTTACTATAATTTTGTCATACTGACATTTTCAATTTTGATTGAAAACAAAAATATTTACAGCTGTTATACAGGGTGATTCTATATTCGATGTAAATATTTCAAGGACATATTGTTGGGATTAAAATAAGACTTTCATCATCTGAACATTTGCCCTTAAATGCAATTCCTCCTTGCTACATCCACTGTAAGTTGGGTAAAAAATTGCCATCATAATCACGGATCAAGTGCAAGTATTCGAGTACTGCACACCTCTGAAGTAGCAGTCTCTAATGCGTTCCGACATAGGATCACCTCCGTATGCACGCGTTTAACCCATTCCTTCGAAAACGGTGTCCTGACTTCCCCTTTAGTTGATTACCATTTTCTGGCAAACGTTGGCATGTATAAAAAAATGCAAGAGACGGAATTTTTACATTTTGTTATGGCCTGGGTTTTTATCACTTTTGAAGCAAGAAATAAATAGAGTGTCTAAACGACAATATGCCCTTGAAATATTTACTTCGAATTTTGAATCACCCTGTATGATCATCGATGAAAGACTTAGTTATTATAAATCATCTGTAATGAACACATTTTGCAGAAAAATGAAATTATTGTGTAAAACACATATGGAAAATAAAATGTTAAAATAGAAATTACTATATCAATTAACAATAATATCCACATAAATGATTTCTAGTGGTATCAATTAATAATTTCAATAAGTCAAACATTTTACATGGTTCACCCTCATTTCAAGTATCCTGTAACAGTTTCCATAGAAGCATTAGTAGGATCATCCTATATTTCTTCAGAATCCTTCTAGCATTAGTAAAATGAATTTTCAGCAGACGTTTTAACCAAATTCATGAGTAAAGTTTCTCAACTTAAGTGGTAGACTGAAATATCTGAATTGGTTAATTGGTAATTGTGTGTTATGAATCACATCTGACTTCTTTGAATTTATATAGATAAGACGAGTGAACCGCCTCATAAATTGAACATATTGATTACAAATTTGGATTCATAACCATATTATTACTAACAATTCACAAGAAGAGTAATTCACCATTTGAATGACCAGTTGGAGTAGTTGAATTTTCTATATAAATTATATATACCCGATTAGCTGCTAAAAATATAAAAACATTCTGGAATTAATTTAAAAACTATAATCAGAAATAATCTTCAACCGAGAAGTTTTTCTTCTTCAGATCATAATGCTAACTAAAACTAAATACTTATGTGTAAAAAGCTGTTTCATTCCTATTTTCATTCTACAATTCGCCAGGAAATTGTCACGCCATATGACAGATAAAAAAATATCGAATATTCTTGTTTAATCAACAAAATGCATCACTGCCTATGTGCATTATAAATTATTATATGTTCCTCAAATATTTCAATGTGAAACAACTATGCTATAGGGAGGATACAATGCCAAATGAATCTGGTCAATCAGAATTGCTGAAATGTACCTAATGTTTAGTTAATTTTTTCTGTGGAAATTCTCAAAAGTACAACCTGTGATTGTTGATTTTGGTACCCATCACATTATTATTGACTGTTTTACAAATAATTGATGTGTACAAATTACTGTAATTAATGTAAATGTTCCCTATATATATTTTTTCGGATAATTGCACATTGTAAATAATTCAAATAATAACTATTTAAGCTTTAAAAAAAGTGTGATTAGAATCTATAAAACTAAAATAATAAGTTTCAAGGTAAAGCAGAGTGGTTGTTTTTTCATTTGTTTCGATAGGCTTGTAATTTTGTTCATGTAGCGAGAATTATACAATTTGAAATTATTGTAAATAACAAAAGCTTATCAGTTTGCTGAATTGATTGTATAAAAAAAGAGTAAGAACAATTTTGTGAAATGCCTGTATTTCAGTATAATGTGTCTTTTCAATCTAATTAATTTATTTTTGTACATATATTTCAATAGGTAATTTATTTAAGACTGATGACTTATCATCTTTTTTTACACTATTTTATTTATATTATACATTGTAAGTTTGTCGGCTGATGTTTTTATTATTTATTATTTTTTGTAATCATTTATTTCAATGGTAAGTGCCACAGTATACCCGTGACAATTCAAGGGAACAGTCTATGAATATCGTGATTTTTAAAATGTAATATAATACCCATTGGATTACTGTGGCTTTGTACCGGGGGTTGTGGATTTTCTTCCCATTTGTGACAATGTAAGCTTGTAATAAAAAAATACGTTCTGTCAAGATCGCCTGTAGATAAATGCTTTTTTTAAATAAATTTTGAACATGTAGATAAATCATTGTGCTATTTAATGTTTATTAGGAAACAATTTTTTATGTGTATGATTCTGAAAGAATCGAGTGATGTAATATATAATAAATAATATTGTTTCTATAATAGTAGAAACATTAGTCATATGTTACTTTTTCATTCAGATCCATTTCAATCCACTATCCTACAATTCATAATTTGTTCAATCTATAATAATTACAGAATAATTATGATACGGATCAATAATCGCAAATCTCTATAAATGCTGCAAAACTTAATAGATTTTTGAAGGAGAGATTGATCAAAATAAGCAAATGATATATGGAAGATAAGCTGTGTCAATACTGTTGGTGGGTTGACTGAGGAGGTGGAATATTCATTTCCCTGTTTATTTCTCAGGATATTAGGATTTTTTCGTCTATAAATGGAAAATATCCTAAATCAGTATGAATCTATCACAGTAATAAAACACAGCTGCTTATGAAGGGGTACTATTAATGGTAATCAATGACTTCTTGAAAAACTGAAACGAATTACTGAAAATGTGAACATGTATACAATTATTATTGTATTCCCTTGGTATCCTTGAGAGAGGGATGCCATAATTTGTGGAATGATGGTTAATGTAAAATAGTGCTTTGTTTCTAGTCCTACTGTTTGTACTTAGCTGAATTTCGGATACAAGTTCGGGACAGTCAATGATACCATTTAACAATTTATATAAAAATAGCAAGTCTGTGTTGAACCTACGTTTTTCTAAAGTTTCCAAACCTGTGCTATTTTGAATGTTGTCATAATCATGATTCCAATTTATTCCCAGTCTGAATGCATAATGCCAGAGAAATGTTCTCTGTATTCCTTCAATTGTCCCGATATCGACACTGCAGTAAGGACACCATATCACAGAAGCATATTCTAAGCCTGACCTAACAAGTGCACAGTATAATAGTTTTAAACTATTAAATGACATATCCTTTCGTGTTTCTCATAACGAATCCAAGATTTCTATAGCCAATAGTAGCTACTTTCAAAATATGTTGTTTAAAGGTCAACTTACCATCAATCAAAATGCCTAAGTCTTTGATTTCAGCCACGCGAAGCAACGATTCATCTTTTATTTTATAATCAAATGTAAGTGGAGAGTTGGATCTAGAGAATGTTATGCAGAAACACTTGTTGACGTTCAGACACAGTGCATTAAGATCAGCCCAATAACAAAAATTTTCAATGTCATTCTGAAGCTCATTGCAATGATTGATATTTGATATTGTTTTGTAGATTTTTACATTGTCAGCAAACACCACACACACACACCACAAATAGGCTGAACAGAATTGGACCACAATGTAATATTAGTATTACCTACTTCAATATACGGTGATTTTATCAGGCCCCTCTTCCCCACTGGGCACGTGCCCAGGACCCCTGAAAATCAGGCTCACCGAATGCAGAATGTTTAATACATTTCTGTAAAGAAATAAAAATAATGCTATAAAACTTTGCATTTCTACGTTATTTGTCTATTCTAACAATATAGTACTTCATTATGGTCATAGGGCCCCCATTATTCTAATGTGCCCAGTGCCTCTAATAGGTGAAAGACGGTCCTGGCTTTTATTATGCACAAACAAATACCTAGCGCGATTTGATGTGTTGATATAATATACCGGTTGTCCCAAATCATCGTATCAATAGTAGTATCTCGCTGCTTTGAACGGCATTGAAGTACAGGGTGATCAGTTAAGGGTAGCGAGCGGCCATATCTCATAAAATATTGGTCGTATAGATTTGAGAAGAAAAAATCATGATAAAAAACGCCAAAAGAAATTGCTGGAAATTATTGTCGAGTTCGTCAAACGTCCAAACGTCCGGTAGAGCGCGTAACAACCAACACCAATTAGAAAAATTGGATTTTTATAGAATTTTTCTTAATGTAAGTATATCGATGATATCATTTTCGTATTTACTGATCATTTCCCTACATTTTTTGTTTGAACGTTTTGTTCTATCTATCAAAATAAAGCGGTGGGGGAAGTTCAATTGTTTTTTAAACAAACCAAGATTTCTCCCGTTTATTCCGACCGATTTTAGCAAACTTAGGCTCATATAAAAGAGCATAATTTGCCCTACAAAACGCTTATTTGGTTTCCAATTTTTGACTTTTGCTGTCGCCGCTAGATGGCGATAACTGAAATGTTAGCAAATTTTTGAGTTTTTTCCAAAAAATGTAATGGTATATAAATTTTTATATGTTTTGAAAGAGGATGCCTTTTTTTGATTCGTTGATATTGACCAAAGTATAATTTTATTACATTATAAAATGGCACGCCACTGGTTTTTATCAAAATAAAAATCAGTTTTTCAATCTTTCATTAGTTGCTAACAAAAAGAATCTCCTGACTTTTTTCGTAAGACAAATGGTTCTGGATTGACAAAATAAAATAGGTTTACATACTTACTCTAAATTAGTGTTTCGAGATATATGAGCGCCCCATGTAAACCTATTTCATTTTTTGAATCCGAAACCGTTTGTCTAACGATTTTTTTTATTTGATAAAAAAACAGTGGCGTGCCATTTCTTAATGTAATATAATTATATTTTGATCAATATCAACGGTTCAAAAAAAGGTAGATGATGAATTATTGAAAAGGAATATTCTCAGATAAATTATGGACATACAAAAATGGATATATATCAATATGAAGCAATACATTGAGAATTCGCATTCTCTATGTGATGAGAATATCTACTCTTTTTCAATTTATTCAATAGAAAACAACTACTTTCCTGGTTATATGCCACGACGAAAATTGAATTATATCTATTGAACACACACGATAAGAGTTTGAAGATAAAATATAAAAAACTTCTGAAATTGAGAATTTGCATTCTCCTTCAGACAAAAATATGTATATGCACACATCATTCTGAATATTCAACAGAAAACAACTACTTTCCTGGCTATTTGCCACGTCGAACATTGAATTATATCTGATGAACATTCAAAATGAGAACATGAAAAATAAAAAATAAAATCCTCCGACATTGAGAATTGACTTTCTTCTTCAAACCGGATGAATAATATGATGTATAATGATATAGAAATATAACTTACCAATATATTCAGCATTGAAATGAAAATTGGAATGTGTAGGAGAAGTATACTGGCATAAACTCTGATCTTGATGAGCTCGAAAACTTCCAAAAATAATCATTCATATCAGTGATATGGGAAATATTATCTCTCACACACAGGTTATATGACTTTATTGCAATGAAACCATTTCGGATTTCTGAATCCTCATCAGTAACAATGATGTCCACTTATTCTTACAGCCATTCTTCATGATATACACAATTTCCATCTCTCTATAATACAACTAAAACCGAGTAAAACTATAACAAAAACGTCCAAATGACAGGAATAGAATGTCAACAAATTTCTCAGATGTCATTTGGAAGGCTGTTGATATGAGCCTTCGAATGCGCAACTTTTTCCACATTCAACCGACTTCGTATCTCCTGAAGTTTTCGAGATCCCCATGCTGTGCAAACTTATCTTGGACAGACTTTGTCATACTTCTTTCATTATAATAGAACAATATTCCCTTACCTTGAATAAAATTTGCTACGTATATGTATCTGAATATTTTTTCAGGCATTCCATTCTAAAGAAAAAAATAAGATTCGATGATTTTCAGTTTCATATTATTTATTTTCTGAACCCAAGTAATACTTAGATAGAAATGTTGTTAAATCTTATTCAGCTAATAACAAAATCAGAAAAAAATATATACAGAGTTAGAGGTTCAGTGGCATGACTTGTTACAAAACAAATATTCAGCTATTTGCATCTAAAAATTGCAAATTATTTTCTATACCACATTTGCAATGTGTTCATTCTTTTAACTTTCTTTTGGAGTTGTAAAATTCCATACAAGAGGGCTTCTGCTGTGGGTGGACATCCAGGTACGTAAATATCTACAGGAATTATTCTGTCACAACCCCTATAAAAAATACAATATAATTATTGTTGATAATCAATAACGGCTAACATGTGTTTATTGTTCACAATATGGCGCAACTGAGATACTACTTATTTCGTTTCACTTAGGATACTTTCTTCTCAGTAAATGTAACACAAGAAAAATGTATGAGACATAAATTTTCATGAATTCATTGAAATAAATATTCCAGATGTGACATCCTATAGTTTTTGTAATGAAATTTTTGAATCTACATCAACATTATATAGATGAAGTGTAATTTGTTGTGTGGATTCGGTGGGAAAGAAAGGCGCTGAGAGACAAAAGAAAACATCTAACCATGATGACAAAATTCAGGAACAGAGCAGGTCAGTAGTGATACATTTCATTTATGGTGTTGTCCACGTAGATGATGGAGGAAATTAACTACGTTTACTGGAGCAGCAGTTGTGGAAAGCAAAGAAACCTGCATTGTCCTCGAGAATTATAGAGTGAGGACTACTGAAGGTGAATTTTTCGTTAACAAAACCCACGCTGTCACAATGTCATCAAATTTTTTTAAACGAGTAATAACAATAATAATCCACCATCTTAAAATGAAGATATCGAGTTACTTTGCCCCCATTTTCTAATTCAGTCCACAGTATTAGTCCAGATTATTCTGCCCAGAATAAAATTATTGCGAGGCAAACCGTAAAGGATTTTTCCTACGACCACCTATGAAACCAGCATATGTTGTTGCTCAGAAAGTATTGCATATCACAATAGCAATGCGAAAGCGAAAACGAAGTGTTGCAATTTTCCTGCAACGCTCACGTGATCTTGTTTGATCTATTATAATACTGAATTATCATATTTTAATACTTACTGTACATTCATTTTCGTTAGAGTTTAAATTTTGCCCAATGAGAACTAATAATTGTTTAGGTTTAGGTATTTGTCATTTTGTCATAATCTTTTTTTTTTTTTATCGATTGGAGCGCACGAAAGGGAATCCCTATAATGTTCAAAGAACATCGTGCGTTCCTAGGGAAGATAGGGACAGGAGGTAGGTATTGGAATTTTTTTTGAATTTTTAGAGATTATATGTTGTTGGGAATACTTCCACAGGCAATGAATTCCAGAGCCTAGCCGTTCTATGGATGAAGGAGTCTTGATAAAGTGCTGTTCGACATCTTTCCAGGTTGACAACGAAAGGATGTGCTGACTGGGCTTGTCTAGTTCGTCTGATTGGTATCGCTAGTGAAGGGATGATTGCAGAGATTTCCGAAGAACATTTTCCGTGGAAGTATCGATAGAAAAGTGAAAGGTCGCCGACCTTTCTACGGTGTTCCAATGATGTCAAAGAGTGAGTGAGTGTGGCGTCACCCACCAGGCGAATGGCTCTTCTCTGGATGGAATCTAAGAGCATCAGCGTATGTTTTGGTGCTGAACCCCATATGTGGGAACATTATTCTAGAACAGGCCGTATCTGCGCTTTGTAGATCATGAGAAGCTGTTGAGGTGTAAAGTAGCTTTTCGCACGGAACAAGAATCCGAGTTTTTGTGAAGCAGCTTTTGCGATGGATCTGACATGATTATCCCATGAAAGAGTGTTGCTGATGGAAATACCGAGCATAGATATGATGGGCTTGGTGGGGATGGTGGAGCCAGACATTACAATATCGGGTATACTGAGTTCCGCCTTTCTAGAGAAAATGCAGGCTTGAGTTTTGGTGGCGTTGAATTCAACTAGGTTGTTCGTTCCCCAGGCTGTGATTTCAGCAAGATCTTCATTGACAGCATAAGCCTGCCTGCGCCGTGAGTTCTTAGTTTCCTGGGAAGAAATGGGAATTCTGGAAGAGAACGCAGTATGGAGGGTACTATCATCTGCAAAGCTGTGGATGGGGCAAGTTGTAACTCCCAACAGATCATTGATATGAAGCAGGAATAATGTTGGTGCCAAAATTGATCCTTGTGGAACGCCGGAATTGATGCCAATGGTATCAGACGATACACCGTCCACCACCACGTGAAGCGATCTGCCTGAAAGAAAACTCGATAAGAGATGGCATAGCTGAGGTGGTAAGCCGTATGATGGTAGTTTGTGGAGGAGTCCTTCGTGCCAAACACGGTCGAATGCTTTCGATATGTCCAACGCGACAGCTAGAGATTCCCCGTGTTTTTCTATTGAAGATTGCCATAAATGGGTGACGTAGGCAAGTAGATCTCCAGTAGATCTTCGGTGGCGACATAACCTCATTGCTGCCAATTTTGTCATTGCTTTCTAAACCGGTGTGGCTTGGGTCTATACACCGTCGTGACTTGGCACTCTGCTGTATTTTAGATTGCGTGAATACGAGGTACGTGGTAGCACTCGACAACGCGAGAAACTTCGAATTCAATAAAGAATATGATATACAAACCTTATAACTTTCAATTTTTATTCTTCGGAAAGAAATAATGATTTATTTACCGAATAATGAGTTGGATTAATTTTAACATAGATAAAAAAGGCATATAACAAATTATATTAAAAACAATTATATTCGAAATCTGTATTTGGGTTCTGTTTTACATTATATATTTACGGTCGTAGGAAAAATACTCGTTGGAAAGTGTGTTTCATGCATTTATTACATTTCGCCACTCGCCGTTTCGAATGGACCCTTTATTCTCCCAAGCGATAAGAAGTAATAAGTAAGTTCGACACCAGGACAGTTAAATGTTAACACTGCGATAAAAAAGATCCGGTGATAGGAAAATGCAAGAAAATGGTAGCAGACGACATGGATACTCGTAGCAGTAGTGTGGTTGGAATACGCTTTTCTAGTCTCCAACGAGAACATCAGAAAGTTTAAAAAAGTAGGAGAGAAAGGGAAATAAATGGATGCGAACTGAGACTCACAATCTTTACATAAACCTAACTGCAGAATGCTTTGAGAAAACAAGACTTGTAGTTGCGATGCCAAAAACTAGTAGTAAAGTCTAAAGACGTCCATGGTCTAAAGGGTCAAGAAAAAAAAGAACTGTTTCACATCACACATAAAAAGCTAAGGTCCCCGTCTTCTTAACTCACACAAGTCTCTGACTTTCGAGGGTTGCTTTGCAACTAAGCTGGCGGTTAAAAACACTTTTAAACACTTTTTTTTTACATCGTATGATACCAGTAATACTGTATGGATCGAAAGGCGTAGATTACGTGAATCAAGCTCCGATAAGAATCGGCAAGACAAAGCCGATTTGATTGTTCCACGACGGACAACAGATACGTAGTTGTAACAACCTACTACCCATTGCCACCAAGTGTGTGCTTGGATGGTCGTTAAATTACAAGGGTCTTCTTTTCTAGCTAAGGAAATATACATGTGCATACGTTGCATAATATGTATGAAGAAACATTCCAAACTGAATTTTTTGGAATAGGATAGGAGGACAGCCAAAAGGATAGGAAAATTGATATGAAAACAGGTTATGCGTACTATCGTTTCGTATGTATGGAACGATACTGCCGAAGAGTTGAGGAATTTGTAATAGCCTATATCAATACCTCCAGAATAGATAAAATACCTGAAGAAGTTGAACCCGCTGTACAGCCTCCTAACATCTGTTACTCACCACATTTTGATATCACAAATCTCAATAAAACAGAAATAGTTCAGTCATTTGGTACCCAAAAAGAGGGTTACCTGGAAAGTTTTCCGGGAGTTTTGAAAATATTTTTATAGATTTCGACGAGCTCTTTTCGAATAGATAAAACAGCCGCAGATAACATTTTATTCTCACATGCCTTCAGTGGCTGCGATACAACATCCACACTCTTCATTCAAGGGAGAATTAAATGTATGAATGTACTCCGAAAAAACCCAGACTTAATCGAGCTTGTCCAGGTATTTAAAAACCAGAATGCCAAACCAGAGATTGCTGAAGCTGGAGAACGCTTCCTCCTTGCATTGTACGGTCACAGTGGGGCGAAAAGTATGTCGTTAAACAACTATAGATACAGATGCTTCTAAAAATCAGCATATAAAAATAAGTTCAATATTGCATCGCTGCCACCGACAGAAGCAGCAGCACGACAACATTCGTTCCGAACCTATCACCAGGTGCAGCAGTGATATGGTTTGGATCAAAATACAGAGCGATGGGAATGGAAAAAAACATAGAATGGGCTAACACTCGACCCGCCAGCTCCGGAAACCTTGTTGAAACTTATTTTTGCAAATGCAAAAAGGGATGTCGGGGAGCCTGTGGATGCAGGAAGGCTGGATTTATGTGCTCCCATTTTTGCACGAAATGCAATGGTACATGTGAGAATTTGCAATTTTCACTACAAGATAGCGATGAAGAGGAAGAAACGGAGCATGTTCTCGAGCGAACCTATGACGAAATCGAGGAACAAGTTGATAACTTCGAAGCTGATAACCCTATCACAGATAACGTGGAAGAAATTTCTGTCTGTGGCGTTTTGCTCGGGTCTGAAGACGATGAACGCGCAAAACCTGGTCCATCAGGGATGACGAAGCAAAGAAGAATGCACTTAATGTCATCATTAGTGTAATACTTGTGGATTAGGCCTACTGTGTGGAAATGAGTTTTTTCGCTGATACGCGTGTTGGATTAGACTTCGCGGCGCTAGTACGCTAAAACTATCAATTTTACAAAAAAAGTTACCACATAAATTGTAGGAAATTTTTTCTACTTTGATTTATCACATAACTATTTTCATCATAAAATGAGTAGGAAGGGTGATATCGTGAAAAATAGTTATTTATTATACAAGGGAAAAAAGTAGTAGATGGAGACAAAAAACCGTGACCTAAAATCTAATATTTTTTCCGTGTATAATACACTATTTTTTTCTGTGACAGAAGGAAGGACGAATCAAGATTGAGAAGATATTACATTATTTCGAAATCTGAAAATTATCGACGTGAAATTTCAAGTTTTTAACAGTAGGGACACCTGCGTTTTATAGGCATCTTTATCGTTCTTTTGAAGTAATCAAATATCTGATGTCACTTCTGTCAGTTCAATTCTGT